GATGAGAGATTGAGAATCAGAATTGGATGGGAGGTGGGTGGGGGAATAACAAACTCAAAAAAATCTTTAAAACCCTTATGTTATATTGTTGATACAGTATAAATATACATGCTTAAAATTAAGTCAGAGATTGGGTGGATTTACAGGGTGGGAGGTAAGTTGAGAGGATTGGTTGTGGATGAAAATGAAAGGCGTGTGGTGAGTTGATGAAGTGGGTCAGGGTATGAGTTGGGCTGGATGAAGGTGGTGAGGGAGGATGAAGAAGGTGAGTGTTGGTTGAATAGATAGATTTGGAAGTGGCAGGAGAGTTCTGAAGTGGATAAAGACACTAGAGAGGTTGTTGTATGTGGTGAGATGGATTAGGAGAATGACAAATCCAAAATTAACAGAAAATAACTAACATGCAATTAAATATTACTTATAAGACTAAGTTCTTCTTAGATTAGGCTTTAAAATATCTCACTACGCTCAGGCAGGCGCTATACTATGACTTTTATTAGTATATAATATATAGAAAAGATAATTAACTAGGCTAGTCTAGAGCCTAATAAAGGCACTCCAACACTCAAGCTGCGGGCCGTAGGAAAATGTGGGCTGCGCAACACCGATCTGACCCCCTCCCCCCTGTCACAAACTGTCACACTTTCTTACACCCCCTCCCCCCCCCCTTCTGGAGCGTGATGTAATTTATGGACGGTCCCTTAAATTTTATGATGCATTATCAATGAAAAGGTTGTTAAAGACTAAATATCATTGTTTGTGGAAGAATGAATATGATTATTGTCAGTATTGCTGACAATTGTAGTATAGTTTCTAGCTACTATCATCTTCCCATGGAGTAGCCAGGTGTTTCTCTATCGTAACAATTGATATAGTAGCTGATTTATCATTTTCATCTAGCGGAACGGATATAACAGAGATGTCAAAATCATCCTCATCTAACTATTCAGCACTTAAAATAGAAGCATTGTCAGTGTGTGCAATAATTGTCATAGAAATAAGCTCTCTCTGTCTCCTTGCAGCTACTTGCATTAGTCAAATCATTTTTTGTTGAGGAGCAGGTGGTAACTTCTTATGCATTGTTGGTGCTGTTGAACTTGCTATTTCAACATGACTTGTGATGCAAAATAGATTTTACAGATTTTGCAAAGCCGTTCAAGCAGCGATGTTATTATTGTTACTCAATTTACTTTCCCCTATTTCTCAAAATATCGTATTTCTACTCTATATATCATTTACCTTGACTGCACATGACACTTGAACCTTGACAAACAGAATCTACAGGCGAAGAGAGGCCAACTTTTGACTTATCTTGCACTAACTAAATGTGCTAACATTCTGACCAGCCATTAGCAGTGCACAGACAGACACATATTAAATAAATCTTATACTTATATTGTTGAAAGCCTAAAAAATTATATAATTATTTTGATTTATACTCATTAAATTTGTTAAAATGATTTAATAATCAGTCAATTTTTAATATTGACTATTTTAAAATAATTTAAAAATTTAATAGAGAAAAGATTATTGTTGACGTCTAATCTACCCCCCCCCCTTCCACCCCCCCCCTTGTCAACAATTGTCAAACATTTCCAAACCCATCCTCCTATTTTGTTGACATAATTAATGGACCACCCGTTCGCAAAAATTTCATTATGTTCTTATTTCTAAGCCATTTCTTTGCTAAGCCTTTCAGTGCCCCTTAGCCCCCCTCCCCCCGTGCGGTACCGTTCACTTTGAAAACCAATGGCTTTGAACAAGAAGAGCAGTGGTTTAAAAGCACACTCTTACCAGCAATATCACAAGATAAGCTTTAAGAAGTTTCGTGATACTAAGAGATAATACTACGAGATAATCTCTCATACACTATTAATAGTGTCGGCAGCTTTAAGAATAAGTTTTTTTCACTCCAGCTTTGACAAAAATGCTTACAAACGTTAGGTTATCGTCAATGGCTTAGTAGGTTTAGCGCCGCCCCAACCGTTGCAAAGATGACAGTACATGGATGCAGCAACGAAACATTACCAGAAGCAGAACAAAAAAAAACTCTGCAGTTGGCCAAACATTCCACCCCTCAATGTGCCACCCTAGACAGACTGCCCACACCCCGCCCCGCAGGGTTGGGTTGATAAAAGGCAGTGTTGATAAAGTGGCATTGTTGCTTAGAAATACACAGCTCTAAAAACAAGTTAGCTGCACCTAAACGGAGTCACTTCGGGGGAGATCGCTTATGATGTCAAAAAACAAAACGAAAGGGAATATTCTGAGTAGTCTGACTGACCAAGAAAAAGCACGATGAAAACTAAAGTAAGAAGATGCCCCATAACAATACTTTACTTTAGTAAAAAAAAAGATGATGCCTCAAAAGTTTTTATGAGCCAATCACTGTAGGGACTGTTAATGATAAAATAAATGATCGAGCTGATTAATTATTATTTTACATTCATTTAAACTACTGGGGCCTACTCTAAAAGTCTAAGTCACTAAGTAGTAAGTAGCCTAAGTCTCTAAGTTTAATGTTAGATCTGTACAATACAGTGTACAGGTAGGCCGTGCCGTGGCGTAGGCACTCCAACTCAAATGTCCATATACATTTTTATTTACATCTTCTGACATATACAAAGAGCATATCATTCAGAATCATTGGAAAGATCTGGCTTTAAGCTTTTCAATAACACCAAGATTATCTTTCTATTTCTATCACTAAGGAGAAAAGTAATGAATTTTTTAGCGATTTATTTTAAACCACCATTTACTATTATTTAGCTTTGTATTTAATTGTAAAAACTGTGATCTAATTCGGGTTTAGAATTATTACTCTTTTTGGTTAATTTATGCTGTAAAAGTGCAGTTCAGGTGCATATGTTATTTCTGTTTGAATTTCGTATTTCAACTTATGTTAATTCTTTATAAAAGTATTTGAAAAGTAAAATACCATCTTTTTATTGGAATACAACACAATTTAACAAATTTTACGAGATGAAAAAAAAGTATATTTTCGTGATTCTTTTGTCTTTTACGGAGCCATTGGGGTTAAATCAAGGATAACACTTCTGTCTTGGTTAAAATAAATGTTGTATTTATTTTATAAATTTGCTATCAAATATAACCAGAGTTGCCCCAATCCCAATCCCGGTGAGATCCCATTTCCGGTGGGATCCCATTTCCGGTGGGATCCCATTTCCGGTGGAATCCCGATGGTATCCCAATCCCTATGAGATCCTGATCCATTGGGATCCCGTTTCCGGTGAGATCCCTATCATGGTGGGATTCCGGTCCCCGTGGGATCCAGATACCAGTGGGTAACCGGTTCCCGATATCGGTGGGATCCTGTTTTCTGGTGGGATCCCGTTTCCCGATAGGATCCCAATTAGGTCCTGTTAACTGATGAGATTGCGTTACCAGGACTATTTTGTGAAGTAAATGGGATTTTATAGTTAAATTCACTATAAAGGTCCTTTCCAAAGATAATTTTGGCACCCCCTGATTTTGGCGCCTGTTGCTCTTCATCACATTCTCATGGCCCTGCTCGGGGGCAACAAGGTCACCAGGTGATGCAGCTTATATTCTGGGAACCACTGGGTGCACTGAGGGGGCCTTTGAAATCTATTTTGTAGTAGTTATGCGTTTTGGGTGAAAAAAGAAATACAAAACAAATGGAGCTATGTAACTTTGGTTGGGGGATGTTTAAAGACGCTTCAGAAATCAAATAAAAAGAAAAAAGGCGCTGTATAATTCAGTATTAGTTAACTATAACTCCCTGTATTTAATTATTAAAGAATACACGTAAGTTTACATGAGAAAATGCAAAATGCGTTAATAAATAATATATGCACCTGAACTGCACTTTTACCATTTATGCTATCCATGCTCTGATGTTTCCCACGGCCACCACCTTGGTTGCTTTGACTCGTCGAAGGTCATGGCAACCAAGGTGGCGGCCATGTTAAATAAACACACATCTGCTAAAAAAATGGGGAGGGGAAAGGAAGAGAATGTGCTGGTTTAGCTATTTACCCAGAGAAAAGAAAATAGTTCAAAAATTTATATAATTTAATGACAATATTTCTGCCGGTACATAAATTTTGTGGTGAACATAGCTATTTTATTGTATCCATATAGTTATCTAGATATTTGGCAAGAAGTGTCAACGACCTGGGGTTGCCCCCTTCCCTGCCATAATTTCAGCTGGTACGTGCTTGTTTCCCTCATCTAAAACATGTGTGTGGCTACAGTTACATACTTTGGTAAGAAAACTGTAAAAATGAAGAAAAACAATACAAAATTATTTTAAAATACACTTTTACACACCAAAAATAAAACCCAAAAGTTGTCAGAAAATCAATACAACACAATAATTCAACCAATTTTCCTAAATGCAGGAAAATTTAAATATTATAATTAACCATCCAATAAAATTTTAATTCAATCATCGATGCATTAAGGAAAAGTTAACTCTAGCAACAACACAAAGATAAACAACCCGGAGAGAATCCTACACAGACACACACTATGGCTCAGATGGCAGTAATGGACCCTCTTTTTCTACTATTTTTTGTGTGTATGTGGCTTATTAAGTTAGAGTGCTCATATTTGGAGGAGACATTTACAATACAGTGTTTAATGAAACAAAACACATGAATTGTGAATTAACTTATTATATTTTATGAAATATGATTTTATGAGCATATGGCATGGATAAAGACACAAAATTACATAATTATTAAACCAATAAAGCTATTGCTATAAAATTTTCAGTACAAATACTTAATGTCTATCTGAAATTAAGGCAAATTAATAAATAAATATAATGCAGATCAGTTTATGCAATATTAAAAATAAACATTTCATGAAAAGCTACCTCGGTCAAGACATTTTTACATTTAAACACATAACTTTTGAGCTAATAACGCCACTGCAATGAAATTTTCTGTACAAATATCAAATAGATAGTGACTGAATCAATATTTGGATGAAGCAATGAGAAAGTATTCTTGCAGTATTTGACATATGCTTTCCATTGCTGTAATACAGGTGTACAGCAAAGCCATTCCTGTAACGCTTTGTGAGGCATGCTGAGCAAAATTAAAAATTTGCAAAAACTTAAATTCTTTTTTTAACATCAGCCATAACCATTTTATAAGACTAAAAGTTCAGAGACAAGATCTAAAATTTACCAAAACAGAGCACAATCACAAGGTATGATGACTTAACTATGTAACTCTAAAAAATAAAAAAAGAGTTTATGACTACTAATTAGGAATATATATATAATATAAAAACCAATTAAACAGGTTACACAATGTTCTTTAGTTTATGTACATTTATAATTGTTAATAATATAGGACTAGAGGCTATCTAAATTTCTTTTCATGTCACCTCACTCTTATTAGCCTATACATCATTTATATATTTTTGATCCAAAGCCTACTCTTATGTATGAACAATATAAGGCCTTAAGTGAAACCATTGTTAAAAATCTATTTTAAAAGTGCACATTTATATAATCAAACTACTATGTCATAATACAGGAAATATTTATTAACCTGTTTCAAAAACATTTCTAGTAATAATAACCACTGTTAGAGATTTACTTCTTCCAATAGATGGAGTGGGAAAAAATGGCATCCATTTAGCTGCCTTAAACTTAACTTTTAGTCACATTTCAGAAGCAATCATTAAGCCCAGCAACAATCAGTACTCTTTTGAAGCAAGTGATTCTGTTTTTATAATATATAAACTATGAAATGAAGTAATTTCTAAGTTAAACAACTATTTAAAAAAAAATAATTTTAAAGGACAACGAAATCATGTACCCAACATCCACTTTCCAACTGATCGTCTCAGTGTTTTAGGATTTCTACTTTGTTTATACCCTTGTAACTGTCATGCACTGTCGATTTGAATTAAAATATGGAAGTTCATCTACTTTAAGAAATGACACAAAACAGCGCTAAATCCCAACATCTACTGAAATGGGTTATCGCCAGCTGATCACAGTGATCGGTGTTGCGCAGCCCGCATTTTCCTACGGCCCGCAGCTTGAGTATTGGAGTGCCTTTATTAGGCTCTAGACTAGCCTAGTTAATTATCTTTTCTATATATTATATACTAATAAAAGTCATAGTATAGCGCCTGCCTGAGCGTAGTGAGATATTTTAAAGCCAAATCTAAGAAGAACTTAGTCTTATAAGTAATATTTAATTGCATGTTAGTTATTTTCTGTTAATTTTGGATTTGTCATTCTCCTAATCCATCTCACCACATACAACAACCTCTCTAGTGTCTTTATCCACTTCAGAACTCTCCTGCCACTTCCAAATCTATCTATTCAACCAACACTCACCTTCTTCATCCTCCCTCACCACCTTCATCCAGCCCAACTCATACCCTGACCCACTTCATCAACTCACCACACGCCTTTCATTTTCATCCACAACCAATCCTCTCAACTTACCTCCCACCCTGTAAATCCACCCAATCTCTGACTTAATTTTAAGCATGTATATTTATACTGTATCAACAATATAACATAAGGGTTTTAAAGATTTTTTTGAGTTTGTTATTCCCCCACCCACCTCCCATCCAATTCTGATTCTCAATCTCTCATCAATCCAACCCCTCCCCCACCCTCCTACTATCTAAAACCAGCTCCCACTAATCGCTCAATTCAGCTCCTATCTCTGCAATCCACCTCTAATTCAAGTGACCACTTCCTTTATCCATCTCCCAACCTCTCAGTCTCAATCCACTTCCCTCCGTCTGTACAGCTTTGAGATAAAGGAAAATGTGGATTTTCTCCTAGTCCTACATGTGAACTGAATATTTTAATTTACATGTAAATAAATCAATTTTAATTTACTTGTAAATAAATAAATCAATATAAACTATTATTTGGTTCTAATCAATCGTTGTCATGATGTAATTATGAGACACTTTAGAAATGGAGAAAAGTCCATTCCTTCGATTCAAACCCTATCCCTGTCAAGAATATAACACACAGGGCTGGCTGTTATTCTTATCTCAGTTTGTCTGGTTGTTTTTAGACATACATCAAAGCTAACCTCCTAAAATATACATTTTTAGAATATGACCTGCTGTAAGAAGTAAGAGAATATTAACTAAATTTTGCTGTTGTTATTAAAAAATTTATTTATTTAGATCTCTAACAATTTTGTTGTTATTTACAGTTTATCCAATTTTTTATTTTTTTTGTTGGGATAGAGAGACATTATTTTTATTCCATGTCAAATGTGCTGCTGTCTTTAAATCTTTTCCCCAAAAGTCAGTTCCTTTGAGGGTTGATGAGACTATTTCATGCTGCTTTTTGACCATAGCCTCAAACCATTTACCTTTTAGTTTAAGATAGACATGCTACCATTGCTCCATAAGGCTGCTATTTGTTTGGTGTTTAATAAACATGAATTTTGTTCAATGATACCAAAATTCTTATAATATTGTTTGATCAAGATGTTGATAAAATTGTCCCATTTAACAGGCAGAACAGTGTAAAGAAGAAGGAAACAAATGTGTAAAAGAGGGAAAATACACAGAAGCAGTCTTTCACTACACTGAAGCTATTAAACATGAGCCAAACACTGCAGTTCTTTATAGTAATAGGTCATTAGCCTTTCTTAAGATTGATCAGCTGTTTCTAGCCATGGAAGATGCTCAGAAAGCAATCAAACTGGAACCTAGTTGGCCCAAAGTCTGTAAATTTATGTCCCTTTTTAATACATTACCAGTAAATTTCATTCTTGAGATTTTAAGAAATTTAAATAATTACTTACATATAAAAAAAACTTTGATTACACTGCTGTAACAATGCAGTACGTATTATAAAAATTAAATTGTGTATTTTAAAAATTAAAATATGCATTTTCAAATTAATTTTTTTTTAATATATATAATCTTTTTCACTTTAAAAAAAAATTGTTTAGGGATATTTCAGAAAAGCAGAAATAGAAGTCAAAGCTGGGCATTATAATAAAGCATTAGTGTCCTACAAGGTCAGTGAAACAGTACTGATAGTTGCTCATAAACACTTAATCTCTTATTTCAAAAAATTGATTTAGTTGTTACCACCCATTCAGGAAGTTGAAACATTTATTTAAGTTTTAAATTGTTAGAATTCATACACTAATTATTTAATAAATGTATTATTTACTCATTCATAGCAAGCACTGATTCGTGATCCAAATATTGAAGGAATAGCAGCTGCCATAGCAAAGACTAATAAAGAAATTGAAAAGGACAAAAGAGGTTTGTTCCTTTAAGTCAATGGGATGATATAACTAAGTAAGGTATTCTGTGGTTCAAATCATGTGCCAAACTGAAAATTTCTTGCACAAGACATATTACTGAATGAACTCCATAACTATGCCACCTCAACAAGTTGTTGAAAAAAGTTAGGGAAGCAAAGCTCGGGTAGGATAAATTCAGCCTTTCTATTAAAAGTTATTCAGAAATTAAATGTTGTGGACCATTTTGAGATAAAAAGTTTCCTGGTAAATTAGCGTCAACATAAACACATGCTGCTCATCCAGAAATTGACAAATAACATGTTTTAATTATATAACTTTAACAATGAATTTAAATGAGACATTTCAAACTTTCAGAATATTCTGCAATTATTTCACAAGCTTTAATTTTAGTTATTAATAGTTATTTAATTGCAGGATTTCATTTTCAAATTTTCTTGTTTTCACGCTAAAGTTAAGCTATTAAATGCTATTAACTTTACAGATGCTACCCACAAGCCTATAGTGTATACATGTATTGGCCTTGCAGTTGGTGCTTTAATAGTAGCTGCTGATCAGTTTGTTGCTGTACAACCTTCAATACATGTAAGAAATTTTAATGATGAACAATTGTGAAGACATTTTTTGTTTAAATATTCTTTTTAATTAAACTATTTCTGCTCTATTTAATAATCCTTTATCCCTATAACTGCCATAATAGCTGATCATCTGCACCTTCTGTGGTGTCATAGCCGCAAGCAAAATTGTCATTAAAAATGTGAATGATTTATTGTATAATGGTTAAGTGGAAATCTTTCTATACAAATGAGTTTGCTTACTATTTATGTTTCTGTCTGTGTGTTAAGGTGCTTTATCAGGGCTTTTTTTTATTAATAGTATAGGCTGTGAAATTTTCTCAATTTTTTTGATTGCCATAATGTCTGATGCTGGAGAGGGACCCCTCTAGATTGCAAAATCAACATAGACTTTCTTTATTGCAATGATTTCTAACATATTTAAAATGAATGGAATCATTTCACAGATATTTCATGTGCTAGTAATGACAGTATTAGCTCTAGCTGTGATGGCGCTATAAGAATCAGATATTGACAATTTTAGCCCTAAGCTTAGTTGTATTGTTACAGACAAATTTGTTTGGGTAAAAGTGGAAATCAAACAGAACAGACAGTGACTGTATCCCTAAGACCTACCTTAAAAAGATTCAATGTCTTTTATGTTTGTGTATTTTCTAATGTATTAATTACAAAAAGGATTTTAATCATTTCAAACGAAAGGACTTTTTGAACTAATTTCATGCTTTCCCCCTTGGATTTTGTGTGACAGAAATGGGAAGCTAGTGAATGAAAACTTCCGGTTAGATGGGATTAGTGTACATGTTTTTTTATGAGGAATATTTCTTTGACTATGACATTATTAGTCAAGTAAATCCTCAACAAACTGTGATGTATAATCTAAAATGTCACCATTGCTGGTCAAGGGATGAGCCAAAAGTCACTGTCTTCAAAATGCTTGGTTAATGATGTGATTTCGGGGTTTGTACTGCATTGTTGATATTCGACGCCATTTTTGTTACCACTTCCTGTCTTACTTGAAGCGTAGCAAAACTCTATTGCTGTCTGTGCTCTCAGACTGAAACACACGGAGTGACTTGTGGTATGTTCAAATACAATATTACACTATATACAATTGTGGTAACGGCTCTGGTAAATAAATTGTTCATTTTTGATGCCGAGAGACCAGAAATAGGCCTTATATTTGACAATTTGGACTTCAGTAGGAAGACAGTTTTCCGCATAGCTGGTACTGCTCACTGTGTGTTTATAGACATTTTACATAGAGCATCCCGATCATGCTCTACTCAGAGGCCCTTAGGCCGTCAAAAACTGGTACTATTGTATCTGGCCTGCATCCTCCTGGCAAATTCGTACTCTCCTGAACCCAACCCTGGACCGAACGTTACTACTAGTGCTGGTTCTCCCTTGCATACCCCATCAAGTTCCAAATCCCAGTCATCATGGATCTGCGGAGCATGTGACCATGTTGTACATGTGGAGGACAGAGGCGTTGCCTGTGAACAATGTGGGCAATGGTTCCATCGTCAATGCCAAAGCATCGACACTTCTAATTACAACCAACATGCTAAAAATTCTGACGTGCCATGGCACTGTACTGTCTGCGGCTGCCAGATTAACCAGTCTGTGTTTGACCCACATAGTGCAGGGACAGACTCTACCTTCCCAGATTTCTCTCTGAACCACTCAATCTCCACACCAAGAGACATTCGAAGTTTTCAACCACCACACTGCTCTACTCCTATGCGCTGCAGTCAACAAGACAAATGGAGACACAGGCCATTGCGCATATTAAATGTAAACTTCCAGTCTGCAAGTGGTAAGCGAGTAGAGATAGCTAACCTAATTAACAGCCTAAAACCCGACATCATCTTGGGCTCAGAAACATGGCTGAATCCCTCCATAGCAAACGCAGAGGTTGTACCAGATATATACAAAGTATTTCGTCGAGACAGAAAAGACAGAGGAGGAGGAGTGCTTGTTGCAGTCCATCACAACTTGGACTGCCACGCTGTTCCAGAACTCGATGTTGACGACTGCGAGATCCTGTGGGTAAAATTGAAACTAAAGGGTAGACGCACACTTTACGTTTGTGCCTATTACCGACCAAACACAGCAGATGAACCAAGCCTGAGGAGGTTCGAGGTATCGCTTCACAGAGCAACACAGTCAAAAAACGCTTTTCTCCTTATAGGGGGGGATTTTAACTTTCCTGGTTGGAATTGGCAGATTCCTGCCTTGAAGCCCAAGTCCCCATACCCTGTTCTACACTCAGAATTCATGGAGATAATTAACAACCATGGTCTGGAACAGCTGGTTAAAGAACCCACGAGGGGGGAAAACACTCTTGACCTACTCCTCACCAATTGTCCACATCGTGTCCAAAAAGTTGAGGTCATCCCCGGGATTTCGGACCACAACATTCCTTATTGTGAATTTCAGGTCAACACACTAAAAATGAAACAAATCATTCGAGAAATCCCAATTTATGCCAAGGCAGACTGGGATGGCCTAAGGATTGCAACCACAGAGCTAAGCTCAAACATGAAGGTGATTCAAGGTACAGCGACAACAGACGAGCTGTGGGTGAAGTTCAAGACTACAATCACTGATGCAGTGAAGAAATTTATACCACACCAAATCACCAAACCTAGGATAAATCAGCCATGGGTCACGGCTGAAATCCGTAGGCTCATCCACAGGAGAGACCGCCAATACAAACGCATGAAGAAAAATGGCTCGATGGAACTGAGAGAGGAGGTACTGAGACTCCGCCGAACCATTCAACGCTTATTGCGTAGATCGTATTGGAACTACATGAACGGCATCTTCTCAGAGGAAGACACCCCGACCAAAGATGTCAAGAACAAGCGCTTCTGGAGCTATGTGAAACACCAAAAGTCCTCAAACGCTGGAGTTTCCCCCTTGAGGTGGGATGGCCAATTGACATCTGACCCAAAAGCACAGGCGGAGATACTCAATCAGCAGTTCCAGTCGGTCTTTGGTGACGGTAGAGAGTACTCTGAGACTGAGTTCCTTCTGAAGACCAAAATGATGAACAGAGCCTATCCTATCATGGGAGATATCCAGATATCAGAACAAGGTGTGTTTGCCCTCCTCAATACCATTAACCCTTACAAAGCATGTGGTCCTGACAACATTAAACCACGAGTGCTCAAAGAATTAGCCAAAGAAATCGCTCCTGCACTGACAATCCTCTTCCAATCGTCACTATGCACAGGAAATGTTCCAGCAGACTGGAGAACAGCGCATGTCACTCCAATCTACAAGAAAGGGGAGCATTCCGACCCTGCCAACTATCGTCCGATATCCCTCACTAGCGTCGTCTGCAAACTGTTGGAGCACATAATCGTAAGCACTGTCATGAAGCATCTTGAAAGCCAAAATATACTCAATGACTGTCAACATGGCTTCCGAGTCAATAGGTCATGTGAGACCCAGCTTCTCGAATTTGTAGAAGACTTGATGACCAATCTGGAGAACCACAAGCAGACTGACGTGCTGGTAATGGACTTCGCAAAAGCATTTGACCGGGTGAATCATAGTTTGCTTCTACACAAACTCCAGATATATGGGATTCAAGGCACCACTAAAACATGGATCTCTAGCTTCCTCAGCCACCGACGCCAAGCAGTAGTGGTGGACGGTACAAGCTCCTCTTTTGTCAATGTGAAGTCATGGGTCCCCTAGGGATCAATCCTGGGCCCCTGTTTGTTCCTAGCATACATTAATGACCTACCGGAGAAACTGACATCACAGGCAAGACTGTTCGCAGATGACACAGCAGTGTATAGGACGATCGCCAACAGATCTGACCAGGACCAGCTACAACAGGATCTCAATCTGTTAGCTGAGTGGGAGATGAGCTGGGACATGGAATTTCACCCTGCCAAGTGCCAGACACTATCAATCTCTAGAAGTTGTACTCCTCTACACTACCAATACGAACTGCACGGCCATATTCTTGAGCAAGTTTCCTCCGTAAAGTACCTGGGTGTTACCATTCAAAGAGAGGTCCGCTGGGACGAGCATATTAACAATGTATGTAACCAAGCAAACCAAGCCTTGGGGTTCTTAAGGCGAAATCTAAAGATTGGCAACTCCTGTGTGAAAGAAAGAGCATATAAAGCCTTTATCCGTCCGATTTTAGATTATGCATCTTCAGTCTGGGACCCATTTACCCAGAAGAGCATTGACAGGTTGGAGGCGGTCCAGCGACGAGCAGCACGCTTTGTCCTAAACCGCTACAGGAATACCTCTAGTGTTGGCAGCATGCTAGAAACACTAGGCTGGTCACCATTGGAGAAACGACGACGACAATCCAGGCTCTCCATGATGTACAAGATAAATAATGGGCTGGTCCACTGTTCCAGTATTAAACAGAAACTCGTCCCTCTCCCCCATAGACAGCGACGAGGCCATGACAGGCAATTCAGGCTCATACCAGCAAGAAGCCAGTATAGGAGCTGCTCATTCCTGCCCAAGACAATCAGGGACTGGAACCATCTTTCAAAAGGAACAGTTGAGGCGACAACACTAGACACATTTGTGTCTATTGCCTCAAGCCTTCAAACCCCTAGTGCATAATTTCCTCATCACCACCAGTAACAGAAACATTGCAAATCCCATCTACATGCATAGGAGCCAAAATGATCAATAAATTGATCGTGGGCCCTTAAGATATAGAAGAAGAAGAAAACCATTCACCAATATTACAATTTTCAAATATAAATACCGGGTACCTATAACTTGAAATTTTCTGAAATAATATTGCTTCTAGTTCTTGTATCTCTAAACCTTTATTATATGATAGTTTGAACAATTTATTGAGTGTTATGTTGCGTTGAATTCTGAAGTTGAGTAGTGAAATTTACTTATTCTGTCAAGGTCAATATAAAATTAAATTCTTTTCTTACCATAAGATACCTTGTCCAGTATACTTTCAGAAAATGTATACATTGTTAGGGTCTCTGAATTAATTTAGTATGGGATTTTGACAAGCATAAGAAAATGCTAAAAATGGCTTGACGCTATAGAAAAATTCACATTATGGGGTTATTGATTAGCAATAAAACTTTTCCTAAACTTATCAGATTTTAAATAAATTTATTTGTAGCTAAGAATTAGATTTCACTAAATAAATATAAAGAGACTTAGTTAATATTTACTAAATATTGCAACGTTTTATTTTCTATGGTCTATAAGCCACATCCATGTTGTAAAAGCAGGTAAGCTTCACTATGTTTACTTTCATGACTGCATTTTTGCTGTATACTTTTTCATACTCTTGTAAATCCCTCCTGATGGTAATATTTAAAAAAGAAATTATTGAATATTGTTTCATTGCAGTATGCCATCCTACAAGTGTTAATAGTTGTAGGTTGTGGAGGTTTTGGTTTTATTTCATCTAAGCTTCAGAGGTAAATAGATATATTCTATAAAATTGTGTTATTATTTTTTGAAAAAAATATTCACTGGTGAACATATTACATTTCTTTTAAAAATCAGAGGACATAAGTAAAAAATTATCCTGTTGGCTCCTATTATATTTAAGAAACATATAATTGATTATCAAAGTGTAACATATATTGTTTTAAATAATTTCATTTCCAGTGCCGGTACTAATATACAGCATATCATTAGGGTCAATTAAAGTAAATTATTAATTAGCAATAGAACTTACAATCTTTATATGCCTTTAGCCATTGCATAAAGCATCAAAACGTTTCAGTTCAATATGTACTGGTAGTACTAGTATATATATATATATATTTACTTAATGTACTCCTTCCTTTTAATTCTAAAAAAAAAATTTGAATGAACAAAAAATTAAATATTTTACAGATACCTAGCGCAGAGTCAGCGAGATGCTCTCTTGGAAGAACCTATTGATCTTTTATCAGGCAAGTCTTTCTTTTCTTGAAGTTATGATGAACATTTAATAAGCCATCTGTGGAAGATGTACAAATACCTAACATTAAAAGGAACCGTTAATTTCAGAAATCAACAATGACACAGATAGTCCACAATCGCTAAAGTCATCATCAGTGCCTTCAGATAGACCAAATCAAGAAAAAGGAAAACAGAGGAAGCATAAAGAGAAATCCAAATAATGTATAGTATATTATTATGTTTTAGTTACCGGGTATCGTTGAACTTATTTCAGGACAGCTAATTTTTTCTTTAAACAAGACAATTTAAAGTGATTATTTATTTGTGCTTTAACATAATATATGTATAATGTAAATTCTTTCCGTCATGTGTTTAAGCTCTTAATTCTATTTTAATCTAATGGTTAACTTTTGAACAAGTTTCCATGTATACAAAAAATGAAAAAATATGACAAACCCATGAGCAACACTTTTAAAATGTTACCCTTTATTTTAATCTAAGCTGCAGTTGGTACTTTGGATGTGGTCAAATTATATGAATGGTTTAATGCATTGAGGTATGTTGGATTTAAATGACCATAAACAATTGACAATGCATTAATTTTTCACTAATTTCTATCTGCATAATTTCAGTAATTTTATTTATCTGTGAATATATTCAGAGAACTCCACATTTTTACACAGATTTTCGGTATCTTTATTTTTTTCCAGATAAAAAAATGAGCTTTATTATTATTCATGTTTTTTTAATGAGGGGATCAACATGTTGCCTCTGCACTGAAATGTTAAGATTATTAAAAATATATTTTTTTTAATGTTATAACTGTTCATATTTAAATGGAAATAATATTAAGTTATAAAAGTCACATACAGTTAGACGTCAATAATCCGGACTTATCTTCATCCGGATTTTTCAAATCCCATAGTGATCCTGGTATCTTCAATTCATTAAATTAAATATAAAAATATAACTTAGCTTACAAAACTAGTTTACTGGAAAAATAGAAAGAAAGGAAACAAAATTACTGCACTAGTCAAAACTTAACAAAAAATATGCCTGTATTTCAAACCACACAAAGTATTGTGCATGCAATTATTTATGGAAAAAAAGTCTTTCATCTAAATATAAACATGTGTTTAAACTCTAAAGGTCACCATTTACCTGGTGACATGTGAAAGGTTATTGTCATGGTGGTGCCCATGAGCACTTAGAATTTTTTTTAGTTGTGTTTAGAGATGTGAATCAATTAATTTTAAACCATGTTCTGTTAAAATTCTCACTCACAAAAGAAAAAACCTGATTCAACCACCTGTTTTTTTGATGCTCTGAATTTCCAACATTACTGTACGTAAGCAGGTTAACTTTTTAAAAGCTTGGATTATTGTTGTACTGAACCCTAACCCTGTTATTTATAATCTGGTTAAGTCTCCCTGAAAAATTTCAAGACCAACAACAAAATATGAATAAAAATTTGGTGAAACATGAACATGTAGAATGATGGCCATAATGCAAACCTCAAGATGTATGTGATAAATGTTATGTTGACCAATGGACAAAGATTTATACCTAGTGTAACACCAACCATGGTACACTGATTATTTTTAATAGACTTTCTTTCTATTTGGGTGGATGTGAGGATGGAGCGTTACTATTTTTTACACACTGACATTTTCGCTCAGTAAATCATTTTCTCGTGAAGTGGTCAATTTAACAGTGATGATTGTCTCATTGCAACTGTGTTGTGTCAACATCGTATCTACTCATGGGTCAACAGAAGTAAAATGATACTGTCGCTCGTTGTTGACATGGTCACCCTAATTCTCATGGTTGACCATGTCAGTTTCATGGTTGAGTGAAGGGGTGGGTGGGTAACTTTTTTTATTTTTATACCCAAGTAAATAGTTTATCCTAAAAGTCACTTTGACCAGGATTTTTTTAAGGAATTGATGTTTAAAAAGTAAATAATTCTACTTTTATAGATACCATTTAGTCCTAAAGTCTGTGCAGAAAATATTTCCAAAAATGAATAATTATAGAACATATTTTAGTTAAGTCTACATTCATTTCAAATCCTTGCTTCATAGAGTGTTTATCCACACTTCTGGACAGCCTTTCTTTGCGTTTTAAGAAGTTTTAAATTATTTTCTACTTTTTCGTGCATTTTAACTTGTCATTGATAAAAAGTATTTTTATACAAGTTTTTAAATTATTTTTTTATTCAAATACTAATGTGTGAAGCAGTTTTCAGCAAGTGTAAATAGTATTAACATTTGTGCTAGGTTGTTCCCAATCTTGAGTGGTGATTAAAGTTATTTGAATTGTAACTTATAAATTTCGCATCTGCCAATTTGACTTTTCACTTCAATTTATTAACTTTCATTTTTCAAAATACTGGCTGCAATTATCAAATAATTTTAAAGTTTAATCATTTTTAAAAATTTAAGCTTGAGGTGTCTTTACTGCTTCATCTTCACTAATGTCTTTTAAATAATAATCCATTGATTAAAATTCTCTTTCTGTGATCAATAGAGTGGCACCTTACGTATTTTCACAATTGAATGTATCTCTGTAGGGTATTTCTACAACTGAATGTATTTCCCTATTTCATATTGTTTATGTCCGGGAACTTAGTTTCCATTTTTTATTTGATACAACAAATTGACATGCCATACTATTGCACATGGGATTAATGGGAATCAAAACCACATGAAAATCGTACATTGTTTACATGAAAAAAATTTTAATTGCTTGTCAAGTTGAAATAATATCACTTTACATTTTTTACAATCTGTCCAAAAAAATAATATGTATTTAAAAATGGTGTGCTAATGAGTAATTAATAATAAAACCTGGTTTTCAATTGATATATATTTATTCAGATTTATAAATAAATTTTCACAATGCTGTTAAAAAAATTTTGTACAATGTGAATGTTTTAACAAGAACTGATGCATGTTTGATGTCCACATGAATCTGATGAAAACATAAACAGTAGAAATCTGGGGTTAATCTGTTTAAACCCAAATTGAAAATTCAGCCATTGGAAGTTGGAAGGCTTTAAAATGCACCATTCACATACAGAACAAAAAAGACAACCATTGCTTTTCAATAAACTCATTAAACACTCAGCAGATTTGACCTTAGATTCTGTCTTAAGACTATTTTCAAATATGCAGCTTAGATAGCAAAAAAAGAACAATTCTTAAACAATAACAATAGTAACATGAACATATCTTTAAGGATCTTTAGAACAACGCTGGAATTTCAAAAATTCTTAAATAGATGAAGAAGCGATAACCCTAAAATAATTCAGCAGAAAAAGACTACTAAATTTGTCACAATTGAATGACTACGATGGGCAGTGTGAACCATTTATGGTACCATGTTATTTAAACAGATAGTCTAGCCAGGTATGGGAGAGTGTTTCCATCCTTTATTGTTGTGACATTGGGGAGAAGTACCTGGTATTCAGATATCGGAGTAAGCGAAATCCAATGAGTCAAAAGCAGGATACAAGCTGTGTTGATAGTTAGTGCAATTCAGTCAGGGAGAAATTGTGAGAGACTGTAGGAATGATTCTTGAAAGTATTTTTTTTTTTATAAATAAATCTAGAATGGTGGTTAAATAAATTCTGGATGATTATGTTTCTTCTGATGAATTTCCACAACTTTGAAAATGTTTATCAAAATTTTGATCATTTTTTTGGAAGCACCCTACTGACGTGAAGCTGGATTCTCTGTAATGACCAACATAATATAAAGTCTAAAAAAGTAACGCTTTGACTGGTGAACTTTTACAAAAATCTAATGAGGACAGATGCTACTACTACTACTGATAACTACCTCAAATTAAAAAAATTACAATTCAAATTCAAAGCAAAATATATAATTAAAATTGGCTACACTTATTTTTTCCTTTTTTTTTTTTTATTAATATAGCCTTGATGAGCCGATAATGTTCTAGGATATATGATTCTTAATGAATAAAGTAAGAAGTATTAATAATATGAATAATTTTCTGGAAAAGTAAAATAAAATCTTTCTTTTGAGATGTTATTTGCGGCCCTCGTTGTGGCAGAAAAAAAATTATGTTTGGACCACGTAGTTATAAAGGTTGAACAGCACTGACGTAGAAGAAGCCACCAAGAATAGAGAAGAAAAATACAAGAGGAAAACCTGTTGAAAAAAAAATTGTAAATAAGACAACACCTAACGCAAAAAGAGCAATAAAAAAGACCAAGAAAATCCAATGGATACTATTAATAGCCAAACCCATGCAAGCATGGCCCTTACAGCAGGGTCCCTATTTATAATTGAGTAAACTTTATTGTAAAAGTTCAAAATGCAATGTCAAACCAAAGGAAGTCACTAAATTGTAAAACAGTGTTGTTTCTAATTTAGTCAATTTCATTGAATATTAATAATAATATACATTATTAACCTTTTGAAAACTCTTCTAATCACACACTTTGCTAACCATTATTCAACTTAAAAGTTTACATGACTAAACATAACATTAAAATCTTTGTATCTTAATTTCTCTTTTAATTAAATGCCTTGTCGTATACTGTGTACCAAAACAGTTTGAATCTATTATCAATGGGTAAACAATACATAACATTAATTCTCAAACAAAATGCAGCCTAAACTATTATAAATTAAAGCTCTAGTATATTACGGATTAAGATACAATTTAGTGATACAGGAAGAGGTTTTGTTAAATGTTTACATGCACAGTCAAGAAATTTTGAGTCTCTATGTGGAGTTTCTAGGCATGATCTCTTGTAGTCTATTGAAGTCTGTCTCTGCTACAGTCTATTACGTTTTATATATCCCACCACAAGGAAGGGCCTAGACATATTTACATCAGTAAAGGAAAGCCAGAATTTTTCTAAAATTTGTCCGATCGTTTTTGTGTGGTAGGGAACAGAAAAGAAAAATAAATCACCACACCAATTTCAACTAAAGGACAAACGAGAGGAGGGCAGCTATTGCAGTCACAGACTCATGACCACAAAGAAGAAATGCACCTGACAGTCATGAACACAAGGGTGTTCCGGCTTAGGCAATAACATGCCTAAAGAATCTAACTATAACTATAATTAGGTCTTAATAAATACGGGTACAGGTTCTCAACCTTTTATTTTTGTCTTAAGGATGCTAAACACCATAAAACTATAATTAAAATATCATCCTTAAACTGAAAGAAATTCAAAGTATACCATTGATTATTTATTTACAGACACCACATACGGGAAAATAAAACAAGAATACATGTATTATATAGCAAAATATAGTCACTATTTTCTGTTGTTGCTATTACTGAAAGACTAGATACTTAGATTTAATCATTTGTAAATTTTAAGTTTAAGGTTGTTGCAAGTTCTAGAGACACATCCTTAAAAAGTTATACCGGTAGTTATACTTCAAAAAGAGCCCTCAAAATTAATGAAAGGGAATACACACATTAAAAGTTAAAGCAAAATATCAAATAAATTTCTAATGATTACATTATTACATGGGTTAGGAAGACACTAGTTCTAAAAGCTTGTTTATGCCATCGTCAAGCTCCTGCTGGTCTCCATTGTTTTGAATGATAATATCCCAATCAACACCAACATCTAAACCACATTCAGACTCGGCGTCATCAATTCCTGAAAATAAATATGTTAACAGTAAGTCAGCGTCAATTGAATCAATTATAGACACAGAATCGAGAATGTAAGTTACAGCACTGACAATATAAATTACTAAATCAAGAATCAAATTTATTTCTGGAGATGTGAACTTGAACAATGGACCAATAGATTTTCTATGGAATCCCATGTTTCTTCAAATTATCAGGTAAAGTCTTCCTATAAAATAGAGAAACATTCATCAATCTATCTGGATTGTATGACAGCAACCCTGATGGAATATTGTGGAGTCCCAACTAGGGCAGTGCAATGCAGACTACAATCTTGTAAACAAATGGCAAGATCAAAACAACTATTTAAAGACAATCGACAATCCAAGACTGTTCTCACTTAAGAACGCAAGAGTTATTCATACCGCACACTTTCACACCGAATGTCTTGCTACAGGAACAATGGAAAACACAAACAAACATTTCAAGGGCTGAAGGAAATATGTACGATGAATGTAAAAAACAAATTTCCATTTATTTGGATCAATAAAAATATCTAGATCTAATCTTATCTTATGTTTATTATTTTAAAAGATCACCTTTTAAATTAACTATAAAATTATTTAGAATTTAAGGTGTTATGATCTTTCCAACGTTAATAACTTCCACCCTTTAGGATCTACCTTCTTTGCACATGAACAACTCCTACAGTAGGTACGTTTACTGAGGGCAGTGGACTCCCTGTTGTCCAGGGGGTACAAACACAATATAAATCACAAACTCCAGTGTTAAGATCTTGATATTACCACAGTTCAATAGCTTCATTGTCTAGGGGATAATTCAATTACTTGACAAACCATTGATTCATGTCAAATGTCTCTTTACTCTTTATTAAACAAACAACTCTGAAATTCTAACACTCCATTATATAATTACTCCATCACTGCTATCCAAAACCATAACACTCATTTACAACATCATTTCCCATACCCAAATACGTCACAAAATACCAAGCAAATAGAAACAGCTACACAAATACTCTCCACAACAAACATCTTTTCCATACCAAACATTCACGACCCTAAATTTAGTTCACAACATAAGGTACAGTACAAAAGGTACAAGTAATTAAACCATACCTTGGGTAAACACAAATCCTCTTTGTTCTCTGACATCTATATTAGAATGAACTCGTACTGTTAAGGCAGCTTTTCTGTAATTTTCTTTAAAATATTCTACATCACTCTGTCTTCTTGCATCACTTATAATCCAAATCTCCTTTTGAGAACTTTCATTTTCTGTAGCTAGTCGGCAGAAAAACCCAGGATCTTGATTTCTCTTTTCTTCACCCCAACAAATCATATCTTGACGGAATTGTTCTTTATATTCAGAGGCATCCAATAACCGCTCATAGTCAAGATTATGATCCTAAAACATTTTGAAAAATTAGTACTTCACATTTTGTATTCTACGTGGCTTTTATTTTAATGTTTAAGGTTCTTTTATTATTATAATCATATAAATATTGTAATTTAACGTCTATACCTTGGCATACTGTTTCTTAAGTGGTCCAGATAAACGGAGAATAGCACAATTATTTGTGCCTAATCTAGAAAATGAAAAATAAAGAATTAGATTAATTTAAGTGAGACTGAAAATAATAAATAGGAGAGGAGCTTAAGACTCTTTTTCTGCTGTCCAGTAAATTGAAGATTGGTAAATAGATATTCTTTCAAAGAATTTAGTAGCCTTGCATGTTGACTGAATGTCCCTCACTAGATCTCCCGGGGGAAGCCAGGGCGGTTGGAGGATCCTTTGTGAGGGAAATGTTGTATGGCTCAGCTCAACAGATGGAGTTGATAGCCAATTTACTAGCCGGGGTCATAAGAGAGTAATCTCAGACCCTCACCAGAATATGTGCCTTAGTTAGTAGCCTTGCAAAAACTAAAATTTAAAACGCAAAGACAGCTCTCTGAGAACAAATGTATCAACCATATGATATATAAATAGCTAACACAAGCATGCCAACCTGCAGGAACAAAAAGCCCCCAAAAAACTGTGCAACAGTATGAACAACTGTAAATTTAAAAATATAAAGATGGAAAAAAAGTACTAAATATTTTTTTAAATACCCGGTATTTAACTATCAATGTTTTGAATGCATGCAAACTTTGCCTTCTTGATAAATCCTTGATTACATTGAAAACCCAAACAATAAGTGTAGTTTTTAATTTTGCACAATGAAATAGGTGTGATTGCAATGAAATTTGCAAATTAGATCTCTGCCCTTGTAACGTGATAAGGCTGACGGACAAATATCTCGCGCCACTTTGTTACATCAGTCATGTGACTTGGTCGTCGGATGAATATCTCGATAAAGTATTCTTCCGGCGGTCATGTGACTTGGTCATCAGACAAATATTGCGGGAGATATACGTCCGGCGCGACAGACATGTAGACACTGCCTTAAATATATTTAATTATCTCATTCAAATTAAACAAACATTTACTGCCCCTGCAGTTCTTGCTATGAATTACACAAACAACAAAAACTTGGAAGAGTTGGCTTATGTCATGAATGAATGGGTTATAGAACAAGTATATGGTATTCATTATTTTAATACCCTAGGCCTAGACTGCCTAGAGAGTTGAGTATAGACTTATAATATTTGGACTATTACTATTTATTAATTCTCTACTAAAGTTAAAGCCAAGCTCCATCTCCTTTACTTTAATGCCTTTTTGTTTCTTAAAAAAATATTTCTTTACTGAATTATTATCACCTGACTCTAGAGTGAGAGTAACTTGTTAGCATTATACTATGTGAAGTGTTTAGTAAATAGTATTAGTTACTATAAAGTAGACATTTACAACAAAATCAGATCTAAGTCTAAGTGAGTAGGCTAAAAATAGGTGCTTCAGTAACTTTTTAGTTTCTAGCTTTAGCAATTTTATAGCTATGAATTTTTTAAGTGTGAGCATGTTTTTAATTTTTTTTACTATAGACTAAACCTATACATTTTGTGAACCGGTTTAGATGTTCATGTCAATCTGCTGTCACTGCTATAGTGACTATAGCTCGTGTTTTAATTACAATTTTTAACAAATTTTGTTTTCAGGATTTATTCTGACTATAACTTTCATTTCAAAATGAAATTTCAACAATGCATTTATACACTGGTACAATAAATAAATAAGCATATCTCTCTATATTATTTTCAGTAACTGCTATTAACTAATAATAAGCTATTTCATTAACTTAACTAAGGCTATGTGGTATACACAGTGTGTCATGATCGGCAATGCGCCCCATACAGATACTGGGTCGGGACTACTTCTATTGAACTTTCCCATGAATAATTACTTAACTTACCATTATTTGTATGTGGTGTTCAAAATTATAAAGTAAACTCATGAGAATGTACTAAGCTTATAAAGTCATGACATGCGATGTTGTCCATAACAACAGTGCACACATCCCTAATTGTAGGAATGTGACGCCATAATTCAATACAGATACTGTAAATGATTGAAGTGTAAGAGTGTAGGCCTAAGTCACTAAGACTAAAAACTAAGACTAAGTACAAGTACAGTACGGTTTATCCGACCAAATCAAGTGTAAGAGAGTGAGACGTAGGCCTCATTATCGTCATAATTTAGTAAGCCGACTAACAAAAAACTTGTTCACTCTACATCCATAATTTTAAAACGCTAACGGTTTACCTGTGAAGAATTAGGTCACTAATGTAATCTTTTCCAGATTTTCTCTTGCCACTTAAGATGATTACTGCCTTAGGTATCGTGTATGCGTCCATATTGCTGTGTTGTTATTTGTTATACTATAATTAATTTTCATTGCCATAAGATTCATCGCTTGAATTTTCCTATTTCTAAATAAAAGAGTATCTAGCAGCATAAAAATATCGAACGTTTAATGTGTTTTTTTAATTCATACGATTGTCACTGATTGTGATCCTCGTTGACGTTCAAAAAGTATCAGTGGCGTAGCTAGATTTATTGCCACCTCTGGCGGTCTTTGAGTTCTATCCCAAAAATCACTTAACACATCAGGAAAAAGAATGGCGTGGGGGGCGGGGGGTGTCCCTCGTACTAATACTAATAGAAGATCATTTTAGGTTAAGCCTTAGGAGGCATCAAGTCATATCAACATAGATCTATCTTTTAATTAAGGTGGCAATTTGTTGCCCTGGGTTTTGTGGACTAGTTGACGGCATGACTGATCCTAGTGTTATTCTTCTCTTCTTCTTCTGTATATTAAGGGCCCACTATCAATTTATTGATCATTTTGGCTCCTATGCATGTAGAGGGGATTTGCAATGTTTCTGTGCCTGGTGTTGATGAGGACATTTCACTGATTGCAAGTGCCACTTTTTGAGGGAATCATGCACTGGGTCTTTGAAGGCTTGAGGCAATAGACACAAATGTTCCTTTTGAAAGCTTGTTCCAGTCCCTGATTGTCTTGGGCAGGAAAGAGCAGCTCCTATACTGGCTTCTTGCTGTTGTGAGCTTGAATTGCCGGTCATGGCCTCGTCGCTGTCTATGGGGGAGAGGAACGAGTTTCTGTTTAATACTGGAACAGTGGACCAGCCCATTATTTTTCTTGTACATAATGGAGAGCCTGGATTGTCGTCGTCATTCCTCCAATGGTGACCAGCCTAGCGTTTCCAGCATGCTGCCAACACTAGAGGTATTCCTGTAGCGGGTTAGGACAAAGCGTGCTGCCCGTCGCTGGACCGCCTCCAACCTGTCAATGCTCTTCTGGGTAAATGGGTCCCAGACGGAAGATGCATAATCTAAAACCGGACGGACAAAGGCTTTATAGGCTCTCTCTTTCACACAGGAGTTGCCAATCTTTAGATTACGCCTTAAGAACCACAGGGTCTTGTTTGCTTGGTTACATACATTGTTAATATGCTCGACCCAGCGGACCTCTCTTTGAATGGTAACACCCAGGTACTTTACGGAGGAAACTGGCTCAAGTATATGGCCGTCTGGCACTTGGCAGGGTGAAATTCCATGTCTCAGCTCATCTCCCACTCAGCTAACAGATTGAGATCCTGTTGTAGCTGGTCTTGGTCAGATCTGTTGGCAATCGTCCTATACACCGCTGTGTCATCTGCGAACAGTCTTGCTTGGGATGTCAGTTTCTCGGGTAGGTCATTAATGTATGCTAGGAACAAACAGGGGCCTAGCACTGATCCCTGGGGGACCCCTGACTTCACCCCTGAAGGTCATATTGAAACGACTAAAACCATATGCCGACAGAATCATTGCTGAAGAACAGGCGGGCTTCAGGCAAGGACGGGGCACTACTGAGCAGATCCTAAACCTCCGAATACTATGTGAAACATATGCTCAACACGTCTTTGTGGATTTCAAGAAAGCATTCGACAGGGTTTGACATGCTGCTCTATGGGCCACCATGAGCCACTACAACATCAACACAAACCTAACCAGAATGATATGCAACAACTATGATAAGGCCACCAGTGCAGTCTTCTTCAACAACAACATCGGAGAATGGTTCAAAACCACGGTTGGAGTACGACAATGCTGTTTTCTCTCCCCCACCCTGTTCAACATCTTCCTAGAAAGAATTATGTCTGATGCTCTGGTAGCGCATGAAGGGACAGTCAGCATTGGGAGCATAACAATCACCAACCTACGCTTTGCAGATGACATTGACGGACTGGCTGGGAACGAAGAAGAGCTAGCCAAACAAGTTAAGCACCTCGACATGACTTCATCGTCCTATTGCATGCAAATCAGTGTAGAAAAAAACAAAACTGATGACAAATAACACCACCGGCATCGCCACTGAAATTAAGGTCGGGGAGGAAAGACTACAGACTGTAGACACCTTCAAATACCTAGGAGCAATAGTCTCAGAAGAAGGCCCCAAGCCAGAACTGATGTCCAGGATTGCCCAGACCACAACAGCACTAGAGAGGCTCAAAAAAATTTGGAACGACAAAAATACAGCCCCCAGCACCAAAATCAGGCTGATGCGCTCACTAGTCCTCTCCATTTTCCTGTATGCCTGCGAATCCTGGACATTAACAGCCGATCTTGAAAGGAAAATAAAGGCGATGAAGATGAGATGCTTCAGAAGCATTTTTGGCATCTGCTGTAAGGACCATATCTCCAATGATCAAGTGAAAGAAAGGGTTCGTCAGGGAATTGGGGAGTACGATGACCTAATGGCGACTGTAAAAAAAAACGCAAACTACAATGGTAGGGCCACGTAACAAAGAAACAAGGGCTCGCCAAATAAATCATGCAGGGCACCACAAGAGAAGGGAGAAGAAGAGGAAGACAAAGAAAAGGATGAGAAGACAACATCAAAGAGTGGACGGAACTAAAACTAGGCGATGCTGTGAGACGTGCAGAAGACAGAGACGAATGAAGGAGGATAGTTCACATGTCATCTGTGGCGCCCCAACGGTCCAAGACTAAGGGACATGATGATGACATATTGAGGCTAGTACTAGTACTCATTGAGCCTCAAATGATGATACGTTATTTAGTGTTCCAAACATTCCTATCCAACTAAGAAAAAAGTATAATATAAAAAAATTGGTCAATGCGAGTTAAGAAAAATAGTAAATAATTTTATAAACTTGTATTAAATGTCTTGTGAAACAATTGAGTACCGGCATGATTTAATAATTTTTTCGGAGAATCGAGTTCAATGGATATTCGATCTTTGCCTCATTCTAACTTATCATGACATATGAAAAAATGGCTAAATGCAATTCTCCGATCCTTCTTCTCTTAGACAGTACAGCTTTAGATTACGTACCATTTCATCAGAAAGCTTTTGAATAAAAAAAAATGTCCACTATTGTCCGCTCAAATAATGGACATCTGGCAACCGGCTGAGAGGGGGGGGGGTGTTATGTTATGTTAAGCACATTTCTGCATACATTATCCATAAATGTATGGGGAAAAGTATCTGTACGTAATATACAATACAGTATATGATTGGCACCTCACTATAGATTAGTCATTTAGTATAACATCACAGTGATCCTGGGACGATTTGGCCAAGGTAAAAAGCATCTTTAGTCAGGAAAAATCAACTTTAAAAAATTAAATAATTTAAAATTGCACTTTCACCATCTTGCATCTATTTCCTCCTCATCAGCACTGACTTCAATGGTTTATATCAATTATAATAATCAGTAATAACATTGTTAAAATTTAATATGAAATTATGATTAATATGGTATTTATAGCTCTAAATATTCCTACTAAAATTAATGTATAGTGGCATAAATCATAAATAGGTTTAGTGTCGCCCAGGACGGGCAAAAATTTTGACACTCCCAATCAGCAAAAGACTCTGCAGTTGGTCGAAAATGAGCTCCTCAATAAAGAGCAAAAAAGTGTTGCCTGGAGGTGATACACCCTCCGCCCCACTCTTAGTGTTAGTATGACAGTGAATGTGACAGTGAATGTATATTTACAAAAAACACTAGTTTTTTTAAATACATCTTTATTATTTGACAATATCAGTCATGTTTATAAATAATATAAAGTATTTAAAAATTGAGTATTATAAAATAATAATTTACTTAAAAATAAAAATTCATGTATTAAATAAAGAGACAGAAAACAACCAAATAAATTAAATGTAAAATAAAAAAAGATTTGGTCTATGTTTCTTACCAAGAAAAAAAAATCACAGGAAATGTGTTACTTTCTTTGCTATTGAATCATTTGTTTCAGGAGTTTCTTGTCGCTGTTTCTTGGCAGCCAACGGGGAATCTTTCTGCACCAAGAAACTTTCAAGAGAAATTTGTCACTTCCTTTGTTGGAGAATCTTTCTATTGCACACTTCTATTGCTGCCCACAGATACTTCTTACCAGCTAAGTGCTATTTCTTATTTTTATTTTTATACCGTTTTTTCTGTTGTTTTGTTCGCTGACGAAGGCTTTCTGCCGACACGTTCGCTGTTTTGTTGCGTTTATTTTTTCAGGTTTAACCCTACTCTGTTTTACTCATTTTATTTTGGAGAATCTTTCTGAAGTGGGCCATCGCGTTATCATGCATCAGGTTTACTGCCCTATTAGCAACAAGTTTGTTTGGATGTTCACAATGAAGTCTTTGACTTTTTTAATCCTGCCAGTAGAAACAGTCCCTTGCTCCTCATCATCAGATGACTGATCCTCCTTTAATGTTTCCAGCTGTTCATTCTGAAGATACACAAACTCATCTGTAGTGAGCTCTCCATTGTGGTCCCCCAACGTTAAACCCTGCTCTTTATAACCTTCGTTCCTAACCCGAGGCACTGTTCGTTACCCAAGACAAAATTGTTTTAGAAGTTTTTGTTCGTAACCCGAATTTTTTGTGACCTGAGGCCTTCGTAACCCAAGGTACCACTGTGTTTAACTATGATCAGATGTTTTTTGTTACATCATAAATTTAAATACACAAAATCTTAATTAGAAATAGGTACCATTATTAGGTAACTTATCTATGCACTGAAAATATACAAGAACATTCTATGTTCCATGAAATTTGAACTCTATAAACATTATCATACTTGACTAATTAATGAATCTTTATAATAGAAAAAAACAATATTTTAAGATTGTACAGGTAAAACAATATGTAATATTATGGGATTTAAATTTAATATCAGAAACTTATAAATAAATTCAATATAAATGCAAAAAGGCATATGCGATGTGAAGATCTACAACTTCTACTAACTGAGTGGTGAACATCAAAACCATTATAAATTATAAAGTATCCAAAACTTGCATTGTTTTATGCAGTTACAAAAATGTAAATACATTATATTATATGTTTCTTTTATAATTTGTCTACTTTCTTGCAAACAGAATTGAACAGGTACAATTTTATTTGATTGCACCTAACTATAATTTTATTATCCCAAATTCCTCTGATAGCAGTTAGGCCATACAATGACATTCAGCTGTTTATCACCATGTTATTACTCGCAATAAATAAGGTACTTTTACCATAAAATTTCAATAATATAAGGTCAACATTTCTGTCATATACTACACGCTTATAACTATTAATATTAAGTCCTGGTTAAGTGGGGAAAAAAATCTGTAAACACATTTTAAAAATTGCCATTATAAACCATTCATTTCAAATGACTAGTCTAAATCTTATGAAAATTAAATGATAGGTGTTTTTGTCATGAACACTGAATTACAATGCCAGTGTCATTCATAATAAATAATAACTGTTAAAGAAAGTAAAATGAGGATTTAAATAGTATTAACATAATTAAATGTTTCATATAAACAAAATTCATTTTAAAGTACTTTGTATAATAATTTAAATCTTTACCTCACATATTTGTTGATTCATTGGCTTAGGAAAACTGCTCTTGGGATAGAGTGCCGATATTCAATGTTTGGTTGATCATTAATTTATATCAATTACTGTAACTTTGAGTTTAAATTTAAGCAGCTAAAGCAAGTTTCTACTTTCAATAGAACAAATTTATTAGAGACATGGAAACAAATTCTTATAAATTTTCAGATACCGGAAATGATAATGAATGGAATGTTTAATAAATAAATGCTTGTATTTCACAGAGATAAAGTTTGTAAATACTCTCATTCCATGAATGTAATTTAAAAAATACTATATTAAAAATACTGGTACTTCATATCATGTGTAATATTTTGATTGTCCTTTCATGTCCTTCTTTTCCAAGGATACCAATATTTAAGTCAACTTAAATGTTTTGTGTCAGCACATTTTATCATGCACTAGAATTTTAGTGAGTCCAAACCCAGGGAAATGAAAAGCTACTGCCTTCTATAGACAGACATGATAAAATAAATAAATGACTGACATATGTTTCTTATTTAAGAGAGTTCCTTTTAGTGTAAATTTTAACATCAGACTGATCTACTTTTAAAAATATTTTGGGTTTATAATAGATTCTTTCCAGAGCTTGTCAAATTATGTTAACTCCTGATTATTTAAACTGAGTAGCCATGAAAGAAATAACTTTGTAATAAAAAATCTGATTAGTTTTAAAGTATAAGATGTCAAAACAAATAGATCTGTTTTCGAGTACTTGATGTACTAAACCGATTTGGCATGAAAAGAAATATCCTTTTTATTTATATTTTCGTTAACACTGGCTGAAGAAAAATTTATTTATGAGAATTCTCCTCTGTACCATCCAATGTTCTTGTCTGTTTCATGAACTTTCACTTCGTAGAGAAGTCCTCCAACCTTTTCTTTTATGCTGTTCCATATGAAAACTGCTATATTTTCCATTGTACTAAAATTAAAAACAAATAATAAATTATTGGACAACAATTGTAACTAAATGGCAATAGACTTACAGTAAATTCTTTAAATGATCATGTTGTTTTTTTTTTGAAAATTACAAAGTAAATTCTTAATTTTGGGTTTGAAAGTACCCATTTAAATAAAAATATTTCTTAAAGCATTATTTTTATTTTTTAACCTAAGCCTGTTTATTTCCAATTAAAAGCATGATCATTTTCTACAATATGGTGAAAAGTTTATTAAGATATCTCACTTGGTTAATTTTCTGGGATTTTCAAATATTCTCTAAAATTCAAATTTTCTGTGACCATGCTTATTTAAGATAATTCTAGTTAATTATATTTTAATTTATCCTCTTCCAGTTCATTTCACAATAATAAACTTTATATTTCCTTTAACATTATCAAAAAATAAAATTTCTAAAGGTTTACTTGATTTTTTAAGGATTTTTAAAGAAATGTGCAAAATGATAAGGGGTCATCCATAAAAGACGTCCACACAAAAGGGGGGAGGGGGGGGGTTCAGCAAAAAGTGGACTAAAGTGGACAAAGGGGGGAGGGGGTTTAGGACAAAGTGGATGTCCATGTAGTGTTTTTTTGAGTGCAGCAGTTTTGCATAAATTTACTGCAAATTTACTCCCCGATCACAGTTACAGTATGCCTTTTGATCCCTATTGTCCATCGGTGGCTGGAAGAATTTCCAAGAGAATATGTTTCTGCTGTACATATTTCCCATCACAGGCGGCAATGAAAAAACATAAGGTCGTCCATTGCAATATTCCTGCTAGTGAACATAATATGGCAGACAAATCAGACGAAGAGACTGCCACTCAAATTGAATTAGCAATTGATGACTCAAGAACAGATGTTTTCATTATACGAAACATGTTTGAATGGCTGCAGCCCGAATTTTCCATTGATTGAAGAATGGTGGATTATTTGTTTATTACATTTTTTAATACAGTGATTCAATAAAATGTTTTTGAACAGTTATTATTTCATTTAGAATTTTGCCTGCAAATAATTGGAATTTCTAAAAAAAATCTTTGTAAATACATACTCTTTATATTGTTGTACATTTTCCCAAGGGGGGGGGGGGGGGGGTGGTCATCAAGTCAAAAGGGGACAAAGGGGGAGGTGGGGTAAAAAAATAGCAAAAAATTGGTGGACGTCTTTTATGGATGGCCCCTAAATAATTGACTTTTTGTCTCCCTTTTTCATTATTTGTTAATGCAATTTGAGCTTTTGCTCATTTTTGTATGAATACATTTTTATATACATATTTGTGACCACCCTGCAAAAAACTTAGTTTATTATATGTATAACTGGCTGTGTGTGCAAGAGATTTGAAAGTTCAAACTGAGTTATTTTAGAAGATAGCAGGTGTCAAAACTACACATTTGAGTCATCAAAAATTTAACACTGTTCCGGAGTTAAAATTCACAATTTTCTTAAATTTGGAGATAAAGAATTAACATTGGTTGTTCTGATTAAGCCAAGCCAAGGGAATGGTTGAATTTTATTTAATTTCATTCTGAAATTTTCATTTAGAATATTTATTTACATTAATTTACTTAGTTTTTATTTAATAACAAGTAGAAAATGGCAGAAGTATGTCAAATAAATCTAAAAGGCAAACACTCTAAAACATCTTCTATCAGAGTTTATGATATATTGTACTGGTACCTCACATGGTCCTTGAAATAAGGCACTTCTTGGTCAATGTTTTTGTGATCAAGCACTGACATTATAGCTTCCTGCAAATGTTTCATGTAATTCAATGTTAATTTCTAAAATTTAAACAGACAAGTGTTGTGTATATTTTAATGTAATTAGTCTTTAAAAAAAAGTAAAATTTACTCTGTTTAAATTTAAAAGTGAAGTATTTTGAAAATGTACACATCAACTAAGATATTATTAATTATAATTAATTATTAAGTAAATAAGTCTTATTTCCTAAAGTTTAATAAATATTTTAATGTGATTTTAGATAATTTGCAATAGAAGTTAGGAGAGATAGCCTTAGAGTAGAGAAAGGTAATTCATATTAATTGCTTTGGTTCATCCAAGTGACCAGGGGAAAGGTGTGTTTATTAATTATTATTATTAAACTACTATTATGAAAGTAAGGGAACTGCAGGTGGGTTATTACTCTACACTTAGTTAATTTAAAAACATTTTGTATGATCCTTTTAAACTGTCATGTTAGGAACAGGCTGGTTTTAAACTTGACATGTCAAAAGATTTTTAAAATCTCACTTAGAAACATCATTATGTCATGTACCATATTGCACATAGTTTTATAAGCCAGTCCTAATTAAGAGACTTAGTAGACTTCAAAAACACTTTTGAAAGTGCTCATAGCATTCTTTTGAACAAATAGTATGTAATCAAACGTTAACAACTTTTTCCCCAACATGGGCGGTGGGGAGTGGGTTTAAGAGGAGTGGCATGGCGCATTAAATCATGACATCAATATCAAAACAAAACAGAGACCTGTGGTGATGGCATCAACTCTAAAATAAGCACACATGACATAACATGTTAATTTGGACTTTTCATTATCAAGTGATTAATATAAACTTACCTCTATGTACATCTTTAAGTCTACAATATTAATGACCATCCCAGTTGATTTATCCACCTAAGGATGAAAATGAAAAAATATTTTTTTGGACTATGGTATTTCAGTAAATTAAATAAATTAAAAGAAATAAACTGAGTAGTAAAAATAAGACAAAAAGAAATACCGGTACAATCTTTTTTTTCTTCTTCTGTTGTTAATACATAAAAATAATCTACACTCTTTATTATTTAATGTCAATATAAAGTTGATTATTTTAAATAAATAACTTTTTAAATTTTCTTACCGGACCCCGGAGTGTGACTTCAACTATAAATAAAAAACATTCCCAAAATTAAAATAAATTTGTTAAAAGTGCAATTTATAACATTTATTTTAATTGTAATAAAGAAGACCAAGGTTCTAGTACTAGTAGGAATAGTAGTTTTTAGCCATGGTCCTGTATGGGAGGGGAAAGTGGATGAGGGGAATTGGGAGGGTACTGAACAATTGATAAGCAGCCCTGGGTTTACATATAATTTTGTAGGATTATTTCATTTTAAGAACTATTCTAATATAAATCAGTTAAGATTAAGAGGTGAGTCATAATGTACCTTTATAATTATGACCATGTCCATATGGGTTATTGCACTTTCCAAAAATTGAAGCATTCTCAGCATCTGATAGATGTGGACTAAACAAAAAATATTGATATTGTGACAATATAAAAATTATTGCAGCTATTTTGAAACCCCATACGGCCTTATTAAAATATCACCAGCTATCATTCTTATTTTTACTTTTAAGTTCTCAAATTTCATCCTGGAAATGAATGGGGTCAATGTGTAATATTGAAAAAAAAAAACCAGTCTTTAAAAATTTACTCAGAATTCTATATTTTTTAATTTTTTTTGCAGGTGAAAGAACTAGAATAAGGCAAGTGCATAATGAAAATACATGCCACCCAAAAGTGCCAACCTGAGCACACCCCTTCGTAGCACATATTTACTAGGGGTATTTTATACTTTCATTAGATCCAATTAAAATTCCTGAAGATCAAACCACAGTTATAAATAATTGTTAAAATTTAAATTGTAATTTGAAAGTGAAAACATGAAAATTAATAATTTTAAAATATTTTGTGAATTCACTCAAACACCTTTTGGACAAAAATCCTGATATTACTAAATAGGCCTAATGGTGTGCACCAGTACTGCATATGCATATGTGTATGCAAAACTCCATGTTTTATAATAAGTTACACCCCATGGCTACATCAAAATATGTAAATAATTAGGCCTATATATGTTAGTGCTAGGGTAATATAATATTTTAGCCTTTTTAAATATAATCATGTTATCTCCCCTTCAGATCAAGTTCAGAGAAGTCTTTAATTTTAAATCAGATTGTCAGTAGGATGAACAAGCATTTCCAAAAATGATTTAGTAATATAATAAATTTAAAATGAATTTTAATAAGGAATTTGAAGAAAAAAATGCATGCTTAAAGATTACTCGCAACAGCCAGATTATATTTATCTTTTAAGAACACCACATGATTTCTTATAATGGAAAAGCTCTCAGCATATTCCGAAAAATGAGTATTACAGTGAGTTATGACTGGAGTGACTGGGTGGCCGAATGGTCTAAACTGAGCAAACCTCAAGTTGGTGGTCTGTAGTTCAAATCCAGCCAAAGGCCAGTCAAGCAAAAACATCACACTGGACCGATGAGACTCGTTAACCTTGGTTGGCAACCCATCTATGAGAAGGAAACTCTGAATTCAAACCCAGAGTTGGAGTCCCGTAAGGCGCATACAATGACAATTCCTGAAACCGTAACCATCCCTGGTTGTCTTGACGTAGAGTCCTGCCACTGGATATGGTGGGCCCGGATGAAAGAGTGAGGTTGACGCAGTGCAACTCTTCCTCAATTTAAACAAAAGTCACTCGCGCAAGTCATCAGTCAACTGATGACTTGATGGTCCTAGTCAACAGACGAACAACTAGTCCTCGTAAATGAAAAGAGATAACTGGAACTATTTTTGTTTTTTCTAGTACAGTTAAGTTTTAATATTTTAGGACAGAAGGACTCTTTAAATTAAAAAAAAATTCACATCTGTAAATACTTGCCTGGTTAATATTAGGAGAGAGGTTAATTTTAATGAAATAGTTTTATTTATTTATTTATTTAGGCATTTTTTTATATAGCGCTTACCTTAAAGCTCTAAGCGCTTTACAATTATTAAAAACATGTAAACTAAGTAAAATAAAAATGAGACACTAGGATAGTAACTACTATACTATAGAAACAATTAAAATGGCTATAAAACGAGGACACTTTGGCACGTTTTGGCCTATACTACAGGATCAACCCGAGACAGAAAATGAGGCAGGGCAAGGAGGGTGCATCACAGGTCATAGGCGGACCTAAACAGATGGGTTTTAAGGGACTTTTTAAAAGTGGACGAGGTTTCACAATGACGGATATGGAAGGGGAGCTGGTTCCAGAACGTGGGCCCATGGAAGTAGAAGGAGCGTTCACCGATGGTCTTAGTTTTGGTTCTTGGGATTGAGAGGGTTCTATTGTCAATGGAAGAGCGTAGTTGTCTTGTGGGGATGTAAGGAAGCAACAGTTCAGAGAGATAGACAGGAAAGTGAGGGTCAGTGAACGAGTTGAAGCAAAGATTGGCAGACTTGTACTTGATGCGAGAGGATATTGGAAGCCAGTGGAGTTGCCGCATGTGTGGTTGAATGTGGTCATGTTTCTTTAATTTAAAAATGAGTCTGCATGCTGAGTTCTGTGCCTTCTGAAGTTTGTCTATGTGGTGTTGAGGAATGCCTGCGAGAAGAGTGTTACAGTAGTCAAATTTTGAAAGAATGAGTGAAGAGACGAGAGTTTTTGTGGCATCAAAGGAGAGGAGGTGTCTAATGGTGCTGATTTTTCTAATTTCGTTATATGCTGATCTGCATATATTCGTGACATGTTTGTCCATGGAGAGGGTGTCCGTAAGCGTGACTCCAAGGTTTCTGGCAGAGGGAGAGAGTGTGATGTCAGAGTTGCCAATAGATATAGAAGAAGGAGCGAATGGAGGGAGAGGTTTGTTTTGAGAGTGGATGAGAAGGATTTCCGTTTTATCATCATTTAGCTTCAGTTTGTTGCAAGTCATCCAACGCTTTACATCGTCCACGCACTCCTGTATGCGAAGGATTGTGGCATCAAGTTGATCAGGAAAGCAAGAGTCACTGATTTGAGTGTCATCAGCAAAGGATTGACTGGAAACTGAGTGGTGGCTAATGAGAGATGATAGAGGTTTAATGTATAGGATGAAAAGGACAGGCCCAAGGACCGATCCTTGAGGAACTCCAATAGACAGAGCTGAAGGTTTGGAAGAGCGGTTGGAAATAGAGACTTTTTGAGTTCTGTCAGAAAGATATGATTGAAACCAGTTTAAAGCTGAGCCAGTAAGTCCGAAAGAAAGATGAAGGCGGTCAAGAAGAATCTGGTGGTCAATGGTATCAAATGCAGCAGAGAGATCTAACAGAATGAGAATAGAGAGTTTGCCATCGTCCATGGCGCGCAGGAGGTCGCTCATGACTTGGACAAATATAAGCTTACAAATTTTAATAAAATATGCTAACCTATTTTGTTAGTATTATGATGCTAATGCTAGTAATAGTAAATAATTTTGAGGGCCCATTTATAGCCCGGGCCTATATTTAACCCAGGCCCACCAGTTCATAAATATATGGATGTTCATAAAAATTTGAATTGTTTGTAAATGCCAGTAAGAATTTTAGGATGTCTATAAAAAAAACAGACTGTAGTAGTGTGATGTTGGTCGCTAACGGAGAGTGGAGTGTGTGTGACACACTTTTAAAACCCTGCTCACAGCGCCAAAAACTGTAGCAAGGTGGGGTGTTTGGTGATGAACGAGGCTGACAGTTTTACTAACATACACTAAAGAAATTCAGGTCTTGTGGACCTTTATTTTAACACTAAAGACAAATGCTGAAGAAAAATCTAAAGAAAAGCCTAAGAAAAAGCCCGTAGAAAAAAAGGACAATATAGAACGTCCAAATCGGCAGCGGTGCACAATAGGGTGGCCCAAAAAACTCAACTTTCATCTACAGAGCAAGACACCCTCTAACTTTTTTCCTTATAGTATAGCAAACCTTTAATTAGGGCAGAGTTTCAGCCTCTTGTGCCTACTGCAAGGTGTTGCTCAAAGACCATGGATTTTTAAAATTTCATCAAAAATTGCCGAACTTTCATACAATTTACATTTTGTATATTTACTTACTGTATCATGTTCCTCGTGTTATATTTTACTTACTTAGGGTTGGCTGTTTAACTGTTCTATGTCATAACTTCCTGTCTAGTATTACTGTCACAGAGCAAAGTTGAGTTAAGGGAGTTAAGTGCGGTGAGAATTATGACTTATAATTTATAGAGTATGGAACTTGGTAAGACGAATTAATCAGAAAAAAGAATGGAAGAAGAGTACAATGGAAGATGGAATCATGGTGGTTGTTTTAAGTCCATGCTATTAATATATTAATTATGTGAAGATGAGTACATACCGACCAAAATTAGCAAATCAGGTAAACAGCAAGACAAGATAACTCAAGTAAAGAAAACCTCTCGAGACCAATTGTTCAATCCAAGTTTAGCAAGTGTCTTTGATCGTAATAAAACATCTGATCGTGAAGCTGTTCGGCTACTTATTCCTATTGCTGCAGCCCTTGGTCACGATCCAAATGCACTTCCTATTTCACGTAGCACTATTCAACGAGGGCGGTCAAGTGCTAGGCATGAAATTTCTAAAGCAATGAAAGATAATTTTGAGCCAACTTGCCCATTAGTAATCCATTGGGATGGAAAGATACTTCCGGCAATATTTGGGGAGGGCTCAGTTGACAGGCTACCAGTTTTAGTTTCAGGTGATGGGATGGACAAACTGTTAGGTGTGCCAAAGGTGAGCTCTGGAACTGGTGAGAATGAAGCAAATGCTGTTCACAAATTGTTGGTGGAGTGGCAGCTGGTTGAGAAGGTTCAGGCTATGTGCTTTGACACAACCTCAGTAAATACCGGCAGAATAAATGGAGTATGTGTTGGCCTTGAAAACAGGCTAGGTCGTGAACTTCATTGGTTAGCCTGTCGTCATCATGTAATGGAGATCATCTTGTCAAAGGTTTTTACCATCTGCTGTGGACCTTCAAACTCCCCAGATATCCCACTTTTTAAACGATTCAAAGGCTGTTGGAGTGTCATCACCAGGCAGAATTTTCAGAATTCCAGGTGACACCTGAAGCTTCCAGTTTATCAGATGTAACCATTGCAGTCCTGACCAAAGAGCACCTAAAGGAACAAGTCAGAGATGATTACATGGAGCTTATTGAGTTGACTCTGATTGTTTTGGGACATCCACGGAGTACAATCCACTGGAGGGCTCTTGGACCAGTACATCATGCTCGCTGGATGGCAAAATTAATTTATGCCATGAAAATATATCTCTTCCGCAACCAAACAGATGTATTCAAGCTTACAAAGAAAGAAGAAGCCCAAGTTGAGCGCTTTGTTAAGTTTGGTGCACTAATTTATACCAAGCATTGGGTAACTGCTCCCCGTGCAACTGAAGCTCCATCCAGTGATTTACAGCTGTGGACTGATCTCAGCAGTTACCAGATCATCGATCCTGACATCAGTACAGATGCAAGAAAGATCCTAGAAAATCATCTCTGGTATCTTTCAGACAAGCTTGTTGGATTAGCCCTGTTCTCAGATCATGTGACAGGAGCTGCAAAGATGGGAATTGTGCAGGGAATGACCCATGAGGCTGGCAAACGAAAAGTGCGTGGAGATTCATTAATTCTAATGAACCTGATGTATGTTTAGGTGACTTTGCAACTACCAGAATGGGGAACCTTCTTTGTTGTCATAACATTGACAGCGCCTTTCTTGATTTGCCACCATGAGAGTGAACAGTATCGATATGGCCAGACACGATTTAATTCATTACGTGTTGTGAACGACACTGCAGAGCGAGCGGTGAAGCTTTTTGAAGAATAGAACACACTGCTTACTAACGACGAAGAAGAAAAACAACTCTTATTGCAAGTAGTGGAAGCAAATTGCAAGTAGTGGAAGCAAACCGCAAGGCTGTTCCAACACAAATCACCAAAAAAAGTCTGCTGTTCAGGCCTTAATGTCAGAAGGACAATAACATTTACTGATAATGCACGCTTTTGTGACTTGAATTTGAGTTGGTTAAATTTTCAAGTTTTTTGATGGAACAGCATAATTTGACCTTTTAATTATGACAAATGCCAATAACCATATGTTTAAGCTTAGTGGTTAATTTGCAAAAGAGTGTTGAACTGTTGATATTAAAAAGCTATTGCTGGTTGTAATTTTAAAACATTCAACATATGCGTATTGCTTCATTTTGCTTGAATTTCGTAAAATTTGGATATTATATTGCTCTTGAGCACCCTCTTGTAGTTAGAATTTAAAGCTAAAACTTTACCAAAACATTACTATTAGCAGATGTAAAAACTTGGGAGGGTGTCTTGCTCTATAGCACACATTTCACTTTTTGTCATATCTCAATGAACCACCCTAGTGCACAATGACACACTTCAGGAATGCTGTTAAAACCTTGAATAAAATAAACTCCTTAGTGTGCCAGCCCTAAATAGTCGCGCCCGAACAGACTAGAAAGCATGTATGTCACGCACAGACCAAGATGGTCCACTACTTTTCTTCTAGCAGATTTTCTGCTGTAAAATGACAAACCCTGGGGACTACAACCCAGGTAAAAGTTAAAATTCCGTAGCAAACCCCCTAAAGACTTTAATGTGTCCTTTTCAGTTTTGTCTCGGCTATCTAAGATACCGGTACATTCTTATATTTCTATGAGTTAAATGGTTTTTGAGATATGTAAATAAAACGGGTTGGGACCCCCCATAGATGAATGGGAAAACTCCCTTAATTACTTAATATAAAATATCCTATAATGATGGAGACGTGTAAATATTTGAAATTTTTTTTCAGCTTTATAATTTCATAATTTTGTTTTACTGACTTGCCTATTCTAGTCATCTTAAAGATCCAGTACATATATTTTATATTGTTTCCCACAACCCAATTCATCGTGGGTACCAAATGGCATTTATAGCAACACCTTTCACTAAGTACAATGACTTTCTCAAGGTGCTGATAATCATGTGGAAATTGAGTGACACAGAGATGCTTAGCAGGATTCAACTGCGTTCTTGAGCAACAGCATTCTTAATCATCATTAGGAATTCAGACAGAGATATCCTTAGTCAGACAAGTCTAATTTTAATCAAAAGTTTATGAAATAAAAATATGCCTAGATTATCCACAATAATTTTTTGCGGAACACAGGACATCGCACTTTGTGACAAAATTAGTGACAGTTGAAATGTTCATGATCTGTTTCAGCTTAAAGTGGAGGCTGGCGACAAAGATCTGGAGACATATTTGTAGGCATAAATTGGTAATGCTTGTTATACTTTTCACAGGATCAAAAAATCAACTGATAGAGATGTGTGAGGAATTGTTAAAGAAAAAAAAAAAATTAATATTATATCAGTAAAAAAAGAGTAGGATTCTCAATATTAGCAGATGAAATGGCTGATATGTTAGGAACATAACAATTGTCATTGGTGATATGTTTTGTAGACAACTTAGATAGTGAATTTAAAAATTGTGAAAAATGTATAGGATTCCAGCAACTCAAGCTTATGACAGCATATGCAATTCCAAATGCCATTATGAATCACTACAATGAATGTGGTCTGGAAAGGACAGAATTACTTTGACAATGAAATGACAGCTGTTCCATACTTGCAGTAAAGGAACACATGGTTCAGGCTAAAATATGCACGATTTTTACAAAGGCAGCTTTTGCTCCTTGCTCTGTGCATCTGCTAAATTTGGTAGTTAATGATTTGAATTCAGCCTCTTCTTCTTCTATATATTAAGGGCCCATGATCAATGTATTGATGTTTCTGGATCCTATTTACGAAGAGCGATTTGCAATGTCTCCGTACCTGGTACTGGTATTGAAGAGGATATTTCACTGGTTGCAAGGGCTACTCAGCGAGGGTATCAGGAGCTGGGGTTTGGAACGCCTCATGCATCAAGTGTTGTCGCCTCAACTTTTCCTTTTGGAAGCTTGTTCCAGTCCTTGATTTTCTTTGGCAGGAATGAGCAGTTCCTGTTCTGTGTTCTTGCTGTTATGAGCCAGAACTGCCTGTCATGGCCTTGTCTAGGGGGGAGAGGGACGAGTATCTGTTTGATGCTGGAGCAGTGGACCAGCCCATTATTTATCTCGTACATCATGGAGAGCCTGAATAATTGTCTTCTTTCCTCCAATGGTGACCAGCCCAGTGGTTCTAGCATGTTGCCAACAGTAGAAGTATTCCTGTAGCAGTTCAGAAAAAAGTGTGCTGCCCGTCGTTGCTCTTCTTGGTGAATGGGTCCCAGACTGAAGATGCAGTCTAAAAGTGGCCGGGAAAAGGCTTTAAAGGCTCTTTCTTTCACAATGGAGTTGCCGGTCTTCAGATTTCCCCTTTAGAACCCTAGGGTCTTGTTTACCTGGTTGCACACATTGTTAATATGTTCGTCCCAGCAACCCTTTCTTTGAATGGTAAAAAAGAGGTACCTTATGGAGTAAACTGACTCAAGTATATGGCCATGCAGTTCGTATTGGGGGTGTAGAGGAGTACCACTTCTAGAGACTGACAGCGTCTGGCACTTGGCAGGATGAAATTCCACGTCCCAGCTCATCTGGCACTTGACTAACTGACTGAAATCTTGTTGTAGCTGGTCCTGGTCAGAACTGTTGGCAATCGCCCTTACACCGCTGTGTCATCTGCGAACAGTCTTACTTGGGATGTCAGTTTCTTAGGTAGGTCATTGATGTATGCTAGGAACAAACTGGGGCCTAGCACTAAGCCCTGGGGGACGCCTGACTTAACACAGACAAAGGAGGAGCTTGCACTGTCCACCAATACTGCCTGGCATTGGTTGCTGAGGAAGTTAGAGATCCATGTATTGGTAGTGCCTCGGATTCCATATCTCTGAGGTTTGTGTAAAAGCAAGCAGTGCCTCGGATTCCATATCTCTGAGGTTTGTGTAAAAGCAAACTATGATTTACACTGTCAAATGCCTTTGAAAAGTCCATCACCAGTATGTCTGTTTGCTGTTCTCCAGGTTGGTCCTCAAGTCTTCTACAAATTCAAGGAGCTGGGTCAAACTCAGAAGCCATGTTGAAAGTTATTAGTATATTGTGGCTTTCAAGATGCTTCATGACTGTGCTTAAGATTATGTGCTCCAACAGTTTGCATACCACACTGGTGAGAGATACCAGACGGTAGTTGGCAGGGTTGGAATGCTCCAGTTTCTTGTAGATTGCAGTCACATGCTCTGTTTTCCAGTCTGCTGGAACATTGCCTGTGCACAGCGATGATTGGAAGAGGATTGTCAGTGCAGGAGCGATTGTTTTGGCCAATTCTTTTAGCACTCATGATTTAATGTTGTTAGGACCAAATGGTTTTGAGGAGGGCAAGCACACCCTGCTCTGAAATCTGGATATCTTCCATGTGCATAATGCCATTGGTACAATCAAAGCTAACATTTAGTTTTTGTTCAAGAAATCATAGAGCGATTGTCGTTAATACCTAAAGTTCAAGTATTTTGTGAAATTCAATGGTCAGTAAATATGAAATCGTTCGCATTTCACTGAGAATTTCTAGGTGATATGCAATCCATCATATTTTGATGCTATAATATCATTTCTGACCAACAGTTTCTCTGGAGAAAAAAGGTACTTTGATTAGAAAATTAAAACTTTTTGTAAAAATAAACCAATGGCATAGTTGAATAGAGCTAATTTTTAAAAAATTATAACACCAAAATCATATTTTTAGCTGTTGTAGTTTTAAAGTTATGAATTTTTTAAGTGCGACTTAATTTGTCATTTTTTAACATGGACTGCATCTCCATTTTCTGGGACCCAATTCCGCTGTTCGCGTCACAGGCTATATAACTCTTGTTTTAATGATAATTTTATTTTCAGAACTAATGCTGTATTAAAAAAATAAGTTTAATAATGTTAACAATTATAGATAAATTGTAGCTTATCTAACTATGCATTATTTATATCAGTAAATTTAATATAATGTATTAATATATAGCTTTTCTGTTTACCAATTCTTCAGCGTCCATTATACCAGTATATGCTATATAGTATATAGTCTATATAAGGCAACGTACCCCCTAAAATGTTGTTTGGGATCTACTTATTTTGAACTTTCAACTTTGGCACATGACTAATTAACTAAAGCTTTCCCTGACCAATGGTGTTAAAAGTTTTTGCACACGGCAAACTCTTATGAATGAAACTTGAGGTAGTGGGTAGTACTACGGCATAGCATTATGCAAATGGCTGTGAATGGTTTCCCATGACTTTTTGCACACGGTCAATTCTGATGGTTAATAATATTTTTAAATTCTAGTTTAAATGTCTTCAAAATGCATTATGAAACACAAGTTGTCAAATATTTTGATGTATATAGAGATATTAAATGACTATTTCCTAAGCTAACTGTGAAAACTTGTGACTGACTTTCCAAATTTCTACATTATTTTGCCCACAACTTTTTTATATTAAAAGATTAAGCTACCAAATTTTCAGGAGACATTCTCAATGCAATATACAACATTATGAACAACAAAACTTTTACATAACATCAATACTTTGTATTTTGGAAACTTTTATTTGAGGGTATGTTAAGAAAAAAGTGAACAGAAAAATTGGAAAAGCATTATTTATTAAGGAAAAAATAATTCATTAAATACAATAAACTTTTATGTGTTGGTTAAATTTTAAATAAATTCTTATATTTATAAAAGGTAAGGAAAAGGCTTTTTAATATTGAATGCATATGCATGAGATTATAAATAAAAACTGCTTATCTCACCTGTAGCCGATAACTTATAGTATAAGATAATAAGACTAATACAAGCATACCATTGACAGCGCTATTAAATTTTAACCCTTACGGTACTGACCTACTTTTTGCTTTTATTGTCTCAGTACCGGCCATTAATTGGCTAATTATTCCCTGTGGCCCAGACATTATTTTGGAACGAGTCAAAATTTGATAGGACTGTTAATTTATTTTGTAACTTTTTTGTTTTAAACAATTGATAATAACATGTAGAGAATTATCTGTTCAGAAATGGATAAGGGTGTTTAAAAAACACTTCTAATCCCAATTAAAGCTCAATAATATTTTCAGAACAAAAGGTTTCAACAAGTGGGCGTAAGTCGCTATCAACAATAGCGATTAGGTGGCGCCATGGAAACAACAAATACAGATCCGTAAAAAAAAAACTCATTAATTGGTCGATTTTCATAATTTAAAAGGCAAATTAAAATTTGACTATTCCCCTAAGGAATAAACATTCTTCCCGAGACTGGGGTGAAAGGTTATATCCTCGTTTCTGTTTTTATTAGATACCCCTCTATGTGGCAAATAAGACGCACTTGGGCCACAGGGAAAACGATCGGCTGGTGAAAAAAGATGCGCTTGGGTCACATGGAAAAAATTAGGTCACTGCAAAAAGACGCGCCGAGTACTGTAAGGGTTAAAAGGTAATGAGGATGTTCTGTCTGTCATTTTCTATCTAGACTGCTCTTCAGACTTCTTGCAATATATTGTAAAAATGTGTCTCCTTGTCGATGGAAGAAATTCCAAAGAGTTCTTTATATATAAATTTTATTTTTTTAAATTTCTTGTGTCAAAATTTAGAAACCTAGAAATGACATCTAATGATTTCCTGAATCTACACAATTTATTATTACTTTTTAACATTATTCAAGTGTTTTGCTTAGTAAAACTAATGACTGTTACTTTTACTTTATTAGAAATATTAAATATTTGTCTATACTATGAACTAAAAGTAAACTGTGTTTTGTACAATTTTTTTGTCCATTATCATTAGTCATTATGTCCTTAAAAAAAAATTACTATGATGATTTTGAATCTCATTTGTTTATTTGATGTCTTTAATTAATTATAAAATGATTAAATGACATTAATTTAAAAAAAAAAACTATCTTAAACAAGTAATAATAGAATAGTATTATTTATTAGTAATTATTAGGCTTAGGCCTTAGTCTTAGAGTAACTTAGCCTTATTAAAATAAACAATTTAGTACGCCGGACAAATAGTGCGCAAGATATACGTCTGGCAGCATGTCACGTGACCGCCGGACGGCTAGTATTTTTTATTATTCCGAACGAAGTGCGGTTTGGTAGATCTTGTGTGGTCTACTGGTAGAGTGGTCGCTTGACGTTATTATGATTTGAGGATCAATACCGGGGATAAGTTCGTTTTTTTTTCTTCCCATTTTAATTAAAAATATTTTATACTATATTTATATTATCATGTTCATCAGCAACAGTAGTTTCATGAGAAATTTTTAAATATTTTGTAGCAATTTAAACAATTTAAAATAAAATCTTTTACTTTAATTGGTTGCCTACTCCACACTGGACCCTAATTTATTTTATGGATTACTGGTACAAAAACTCAAATAACAAACTAAACAAAAATGTTTACAAGCCACTTTCACGTAAGTTTTTTTTCTATTATTTGCATTCAAGATACTCAGTGCATTACTTGGTAGAGAAATAGATTTTAAAATTAATAATAGGTTTGAATCATTCGCAGTAAACGTGGCAAGGCTGCCCGACAAGATATCTCTCGCACTTTGTTACGGCGGTCATGTGCCTTTACTTTAGTATAATGTAGTTAATAAGTTAATATTAGATACTTCGATGAAACAAGGGAGACTACTATTTTTTTTGTATCGGAAATGGGCGTCGGCGCCGAAAAATCCGAGTTTTTAATTTTCCGATGTGTGTGTCTATTTAGTATTAAATTAGTTCTTTCCACATAGATTTGAGTTCCGTTTCCGGCCTTATAATTAGGAAGACATCTTGGCCTACATTTCTAGCCAGCTATTTTGCTTTTTTCAATCGACCTTTATTTTGAAAATCTTTGGTATATATAAGGCATCTTCGCATACAAAATTTTTTGTGAAATAATAAGATAAGGTCCTTTTTGATTAAATCTGTATGAGCATTAGATATTGATCTATATCTGTGCCAAGTTTCATTGATGTAGGTCGTGTCTCACGTTTGTTACACTTGTCACAGTGACCCATATCACCATAAGGTGGCTCAGCCTAATTTCGACATGGCGTGGGCCACGCCCCCTTTTTAATGGCGGAAGTTGCCGATACTTAGGAAATATTTAATTATTACCACTATATACATCAAAATATTTTATATTTTGTGTTTCAGAATGCATTTTGAAGACATTTAAACTGGAAATGTTTTAATTTGAGCTTTAAAAACCCTGTAGAGTCCATATTATAAATGATCAGAATTTTCCCTGTGCAACACGTTGTCATTGGCAACCATTCACAGCCACTTGCATAACGGCTACGTCGTAGTACTATCTCAGAGTTTCATTCATAAGAGTTTGCAGTGTGCAAAAGCTATTAAACCATTGGTCAGGGAAAGCTTTTATTAATTATTCATGTGCCAAAGTTGAAAGTTTAAAATAAGTCGACCCTAAACAGTATTTTAGCGATAGGGAATGCGTTGCCTTATATAAACTATATAGGCATTGCGCATGACGCGATCAGTGGAATGAGGTCACAGAATGTGGAGATGCAGTCCATGTTAAAAAATGACAAAACAAGTCGTACTTTAAAAATTCATAACTTTAAAACTACAACAGCTAAAAATATGATTTTGGTGTTATTATTCTGTTTAAAATTAGCTCTATTCAACTGTGCCATTAGTTGATTTTTAAAAAATGTTTACATTTTTGACCAAAGTATCTATTAATATATTGCTTAATGTCCCTAGTGAGAGGATAATAATATTATTATTCATATTATTGTTCAATAACAAAAGAACAGTTAAAATGTTTAAACATTTACTTTAACTGAATAAACTCACACAATTTTTTAATGTAAATTGATGCTCTACTCACTACATAGTATAGTTATTTGTATATCGAGGGACTAATAAACTTGTCAGAAATTCAAAAACTAAAATTTAAAGAAACTTCTTAAATTATTTGGTCTTGGTTGTATTAACTTCTAATAATATGAATATGATAAAACTGTTTATCATTATTTAATTGGTTAATGCTTAGCGGAATTTTAAAGATAAACAATAACGAAAATACGTTTACCGTTTATATTTTTATAATTTATATTAAATTGATGAGAAGAGCCATTTCCGACAACCCATTTTTTAAAGAGAGGAGACAACTGGTGATAATTAATTTTAGTTACGGAATTGATTAATGATGAATAACTTTTAAGATGCATGGCCATTTTTAACAAAATAAAGTTATTCCTCTTGGTGAATTTATCAAGCTGCGGTACGATAAAATTCAATGTGGTACAATTAGAAATTAAAAAGTAATAACCTATTAAGTACATGCCGGCTCTAGGATAAATATATTGCCACAATATATTCCATGTTATCACGCTACCAAAATGGTATCACCCTGTTTTGAAAATTATGTGCTCTACGTCACATATGACAAGTTAGTTTATTATTAGAAAACTGTGACGCAGAGCGCAAAAAAACGAGATAATCACCGAGACGAATGCATGATTTTTTTTGTATGCGCAAACTGGGTGCGCGTGAGACCTTCTAAATCACTAAAGCTAATTTTAAATTATTATTGGTTGGCTAATTATCATATTTTATTAGTGCCGCCATATTTGCTACATTTTTGGTCTAATGACCTAATTATGATACTCTTTCTTTGTCTTTGTGAAACTTTGATTTTGATACAATAATTTAATATAATATCAAAGTTTCACATTCACTATTACTATCTATAGGCCTACTGACATTAATCATTAATAATTATATAATATAACTACGGACGGTTACTACGCCTGGGATACACACCTATGTAACCTATGACAAGCACTGAATGATTCAATACGCTGCACGTATACTACAGGTTGTAACTGTAACTCAGAAACTCTCTGGCCAACGATAGACATTTTTTAAAAATTTAATGTTATACTCGACTCTTCCAGCAACTATTCCAATGTAAAGTCACAGTTGCCACCGTTCTCTGTCTTGTTCTTCGTTATAGAAGTTAAACTTGGTACTTGTTTTTGGAATAGCGTCCCTTTGCTACTTTACTAACTTCACAGAATTCGAACAGTATTATTTCCCTAGATAGTGACAGACGCATGTAATTAATTAATTAAATTTTTATATGATCATGAAATTTTAAAGGTAAACAAGGAAAAATACGCAAATTTGTAAAGTACGCAATACCTTTATGGAAAAAGACCTTCGGGTTTGTAAACTCACTAAAGTTACTAGACTGTATACTATACACTATACTGAGTATAGGTATTTCGGTAAGATCCGGGAAGTGCCGAAAACCGGGTATCGTGATTTCGTTGTCAAAATGGCGACCTCCACTTTTTAATTTACCGAGAGTCACGTTGTTTACGACTTTTTAACTATATATAGCCCAGCATGTTAATTCTATTTCCGCCCACAACTTATAGTAGACATGTTGTGTTATGATTAGACACTTGAGTCCCCCCAAAAATTTTGGGGCTTCACTTTGAAAATTGAAGGTAAAATAACGCAATTTTTACTCATTCATATTTTTTTTGTGGAAAAGGACCTTTCATAGAATTTCAAGGACTTTATAAATAATGGCATTAACTACAACATATCCAAGACCTGTTAATTTAGGACCATCAGTTTGGTCAGAAATTTCATGGGAAATTTTAGTCACGTGTGTCCCAAAATTACCTATTATCGTTAATATTCGTTGCTATGGTAAATAACCTGATTTACTCTGGAAATCCAGACTATTACCCCCTAATAACTTATTTAGAAATAAAAATAAAATAATTAATAAAACAAACACATATTTTTAATATGATTTGATGCTTTTATTGAGGGATATTAGGTTAAAAAAGCCTAATTAATTACAATTAATAGTTAACTATTAGTTTTATATACTGTTGTTATATGTATACTATTAACTATATATATACATATAATATATATACATATATAATTATATATATGTGTGTATGTATATATAGAGGCCTAGAATAGTATTACTATTATAAGTGTAGGCCTATCCACCTCCCCCCCCCCCAATAGTTATTTGTAGGACCCATTATTCATATGTAATGATATATATGGTGATTCTTAAGGCATAAATTAAGTAAAAGTGTACAAAAAATATTCACTTACCTTTGGTATTGAAATATCCTATATTATATTTAATCACATATCACACTATTCCAAAAGAGAATTATCAGTATTCTCAAAGAAAAAAACACACTTTCTACCACAAAAATCCAAGAATTACATGAGATATTACTAAAATTTAATAATAAAACATTGTAATTACCTCAAGCAAATAACTAGAACTTATTTAAAATTCTATCAACAGCTAAAGTTGATTCTAATAATAAATGTTGATCTGTGAAACAACTGTACTAACTTAAAATAAATGACATACTATTTTTTGTCATATTCACACATTCATATGGTATGGGACTAAAATACATTATATAGAAAATGGTAAAATAAAAAGTTTAATTGTCAATTTTAACTTATTGAAACAAATAATCCCTTTATTATTAGTATATACTTATAAATTTTAAACAATTCCACAGAAAATTTGAAATTAATATCTTAAGAATATTTTATTATTATTATGAATTTTGGGAAATTGAAAAAAAATATTTATACATAATTAATTAATTAATTACGAATAAGTGACGAGTCAGCATATTTTATATATTTTTAATAGGAAAATAATAAAGATTTTTTAAATAATTTTTGCGGAATATTAACAAAAACTAACTTATATTTTGTGGTTTTATTTAGAAGTACTCTAATTAAAATATGTTCCCTGTAAATATTATATTTTTGTGTCATTTTATAATAAAGTTATAGGCCTTTAAAAAAAATCAAAATGAGGGTCACGAGATGTGGAGGAAAATCCCATAGTAAAAAAGGGCCTTTGAGGTCCCTACTAAAAAATTCATAACTTTTGAACCACTTGAGCTAGAAAGTTGATCTTGGTGTTTTTGTAATCTATTCTCCAGGCTCTATACAGCTGTAGTGTTTTTATATTTTTAAAAATGTTTTGAAATTTTAATCAAAGTGCCTAGTATACTGTCTATGGTAATCTACCACTTGAGCGTCGGCCAAGAAAAAATCCAGTTGTTCCGTTTGGAAGGGCTATTTAAACAACTATTATTACATTGGAGTCTGTTAATATTTTTGCTTCCGTATGAGGCTATAATGCTATAAAGTTATATAGCCCACAATACTAATACATTTAAATAATTATTACTGCCAAGCTACCAATATGCCAGGAAGAAAAAGAGACTACAATAGAGCCGATGTCGGAAATGTTTGATACAGATCAGATACGAAATGAAGAAGAATGGCAGCTGTCCACACTACTGCTGAATTTGTCAGACCCCTTATTCAACATCTAAGATGGTGCATTAAAAAATTTTTTTTTATCCAGATGACGCGGATGTCCACATACAGAATGTGGAAAACGTGGATGCTCGAAAAGCATAAACTGAAAAGACAGTTTGGCACAAGCCGTGATCTTTCCCCCTTACGTGAATTCATGTACCACAACCGATTTTGAGGAACTTATTTTTTTTTAAACTTCATTGTTGCCTTGAGGGAGAACTATACATTTACATAGTTCCATTTTCAAACATTAAATTGTTTAAATTCTTTTATTTCAAATTTTTAAAAAATAGTTTTTCTATTTAAAAAAATGTTCTTGTGTATTTGTATTAGTACTATTATTATGGGCATGAATACGTACAACCAATGTCATTAAAAATAGTATAAGAATAATTGTTTAAATAGCCCTTCCAACCTGAACAGCTGGATTTTTTCTTGGCCGACGCTCAAGTGGTAGATTACCCTGTCTAATGCTAATCATCTATCTTTACTTTAATTTTATGATCACTATATTACTATATTATACCATACTATACTCTAAACTGAATACTGTACTATATTCTTTATGATAATGATGAGTGTATGACTAGTATGAGTTAGTTTAGAGTTAGAGCCATTCCGTAAAAAGTAAGAATGACTCTAACTTCTAAGTGAATGAGTTAATTAAAAATGACTTCCCTTGTTTCATCTTTGTCATTCTTTGTAGTGTAGTAGTAGTAGTAGTAAGTAAAGTAAGTTAAGTAAGGTAGTAGCAAGTAGGAACCTAAGCCTAAACTTAATATAATAACTATAAGTATAAGTAAGTAAGTTAATTAACTTAATAAAAAAAACGAAGTGGCTATTCGGACCCAGGTATCATAATCAGAAGTGTCTGAGAAGTGAGGGGTTGGGATTAAAAAATAAAAAAAAATATTATTCAAGGGTTTGCAAGACAAAATGTAATATTAATATCAAATGAAAGATAATTGAATGGACTATATTAATGTTTTTAAACTTACTTCTTCAGTTTAACTAAAATAAACTACTACAAATGACATTCGAACAGCATTTAGTCTAAAGTTAAAGGGACCCGGGTCCGAATAGCGGCAATGCATAAGCTATTTAATTTTTGTTGCCCTATCACATAAAAATAATTTCAAATAAAAAATGTAAAAAAATAAACCCTTTTAGTTTAATTTTACATAAAGTGAAGAACTCTACCTCTCATAACTCATATCTCTTTCTTATTTTGTATTTAGCTAATTAAGTCAAAACCCTGCCTTAATATTAATCCTCCTAAGCCTAAAACAATAGGTATGTTTGAGAATTTTGAATAAGCCTTGCCTTAAACTACTTAAAACTTCAAGTCTAAACTTATAATTGCTTAAATAGCTTTTTTTACCTAAATAATTTGTTCTGAATAGAAAAAATATACCTTAAACTTAAAGCCTCAAATCACAATTTTTATTAGGCCTAAAAATAAAGATTAATTTAGTAATTAATAGAGTTTTAAATTTTAGAATAGATTCTGAAATTATCAGAATAATTTTAAAGAGCAAGTCAATTTTAGCTGACCCTTCCCAATTGTTCAACAACTAATTAAGTTATGAAATAAATTTATTTAAGTTATGAGATTCAGCTCTTGTCATTCGCATAAAAGGCACACTGCCTTATTAACTTAGCTCAAATTTACAAATTTAAAGTTATTTCCCTTATTATGAATCGCCTATTAAAGTCTAGTGGTCATCTCTATTTGTACTTTGCTTTAAAATTTTAGCTTCATAAAATTTGAATTAGGTAAATTGAAATCCTCTACAAGATGAATTCTGCTAAATTCAAACTTTCTAGAATTTGTGAAAGTTCTTGATTTAAAAAATGTTGTTTTTAGCTGTATCTGAAGTTTAAATGAAAAAATAACTAACAAAATCAAACGAAATTTAAATTATTATGGCTTGAAGTTTAGTATTGTAATTTTGTCACTGAGAGTAAGAAAAAATAAATAGAGAATTATTTACAAAAGTTAAAGGGACTCAACTTAAAAGGATTATGGATATTGAAACACAAACATTTTTTCAAGCTCCAAAAAATGGGATATCAAGTCATTGAAATTTATACTTGTAAGAATATTTAAAATCACATGAGGAGATTCAAGAGAATTCCATCCTAATGAGGTAACTTACAGAAAAATCATTTCAATTTGTATTCATTGTAAATGAAAAATGCCATTTAAGAGTGCTTAATTGAAATGTACATGGCTTTAGGTCTTAAGTTGGTACGCTGTAAAAAAAATGTATTTATAAAGATATACTAAGCATAAAAGTAAAGTTATACATTTTGGATTGTAACTAGCATAATGTGAAAAGGACATAATGTTTAATTTAGCATATTCCTTTATTCCTTTTGTTAATCTTCTGAAATCTGTTTTAATTGAAATATATTTCTTCAAAATAATTTTCTGCAGTGCTTAATTTTCTAAGGAAAACCTTTAAAAACAACTTATAAAGCACATTTTATTTTATAGAAAAACTGCAGAAAGTTCAAAACTCTGCTGCTAGGCTTGTTCTTAAGGCAAAAAAATGCGATCACGTCACTCCACTACTCCACTCACTACATTGGCTCCCTATACAGGCACGCATTGACTACAAGCTGTCTCTTCTCTGTCACAACTTTTTCTCGGATTCCTGCCCTTCCTATCTAACTGAACTTCTTTCTGTCTATTCACCCCTTCGACAACTTCGCTCCTCCGCAGACTCGCGTATTCTGTCCGTTCCCAAGACACGCACTAAATTATATGGTGAACGATCTTTCTCTTTCTGCGCCCCCAAACAATGGAATTCTTTGCCACTACACATCCGCAATATAACAACCACACAGGCCTTTAAAACTGCACTCAAAACACATCTATTTAAACTATACTACTCTGACTGATTCTCCTCCTATAAACCGATAAACGTACATGGGTTTCCTTGTAAAAATTTCTGGTGTGGGTGGATGAATATACCTATGGTGTTGTTTTGCTTATATGTTGTTTTTATTTCATTTATGTATTTTATTTTAATATTATGATTATGCCTCTTTGCTATATTTATGTACAGCGCGGTGAGCCCAGCCCTAGGCCGGGGTACCGCGCTATATAAGACCACTTATTATTATTATTATTAATTAATACAGATAAAATAAAGTAACTGGCATAATATTACTCTGTAACTGACATAGCTTCTGAATGAATGCAAGCATTCTAAATATAACAAAATTGTCAATTCTTTTACAAAATTATAAATGTTTCACTGTAGCAGTTATAATATCCTTAAATAAACATAAATATTGTTTTAATGCTTGTCCATCACGTTACATTGACCATGACAATGAAAATTGTTTGTCCATATTTATTAGATGTAAACAAAAATAAAATTCAACAAAATTCATATTAAAATGTAAAGACAACATGTTCTTAATTCAAGATGACCACCAGGTCATGTGTCACACAAAAAAAAAGAAACTAAAAATGACTCCATAACAAGATGCGTGAAATAAATTTCAATAGCACCAAATTTTATGCAATTTAATTTTTGGATGTAGTGTCCACCTTTACATGGAATTCCTTTTTGAAACTGCCAAGCATTCTAAAATTCAAAATCTGTTTGTAGCCAGACATCTCTATTTGCCTTTTCTTGTTTCATTTCATTTTTTATTTTTTATTTTTATTTTAAGGGATTCTGGATTAAGAAACATTTAACAGTGAAGGCAACATCATGAATAAAGAAATCCTTGACATTTGTGGAAAGCTAATCCCACCAGCATATATTTTACAGGGCTCACAGGCTAGAACTTCTCATGAGAACAAAATTAAGCAACTTTTTCAACATGCAAGTAAATCTTTTTTTAGTCCATAATCATCCATTGCACAAGTTTTTAAAAATTGTCAGAGTATCAAAATCATCAGTATATATCCTTAAGGTTTGTTGATCAACATTATCCAGGGTCATATGTTGAGGTCATGGAGATGGTATTTGATATGCATCTCTTTTAGTCCTTAAAAAATAATTTTTAAAAATAAAACAGTTGACTCTGTAGTGCAATTATAAAGTTGTCTACTGCCAACTTCAAGTAAAGAAAAAAGGCTGGGCACAAGTATTTTTTTTCTGAAGGCATGAGCCAAAATGTTTTGAAAAAAATATTTTCTCTTAATTAAAGCTTAATAATACACCAATTGTGTCTCGTTGATCTACTTAAACTATATTGCAGTCCAACCCCTTATAATGATTTAATTTTTTGGTGGCCATCTTTCATCCTGCATAATAACCAAATCCACGCTTTACCTAACGTATCAAGTGAAGGTCCTGTGTATTTCATAAAAACCTAGTTCAACTTGCCCTGTAGCCACTCAAACCCATGCAATCAATTCTCTGGCACCTATCAATCAAATTTTAATAGTAATAAAAGCATTTGGGAGCTTAAATGTCACATTTTGATTTAATCCAAGTTTATTTGGCCTTGTTTTCAACTCATAATTTGTTTCCTTAATTTTATTTTTTTAAACTGTTTATAAAAAAGCACCTTTTTGTTTTTATAAAAAAAATTCTTATTTGTCTCTTATTTTAAAGCAAAAACTGCCGGAAGATGGATGGGATGAACAGACAGTAGAACTTTTGCTTCAAGAATTGGCTGTGATGGACAGCAATAATTTTCCAGGAAATTGTGGTGTTGGAGAACGAGAGGGTAGAATAGCTTCATCATTGGTAGCTCGACGACATTACAGGTTATTGTTACAAAAAATGGTTATAATTAAAACTGTCTTAGTGTATGCACATTCATAATAAAACAATAATGATGGAAAAATAATAATCAATTAGAACTTATAATCTATTATGTTTTATATACAGATTATGCCATGGTATTGGGAGATCTGGTGACATAACTGCTGTTCAACCAAAAGCTGCAGGGTCAAGCGTCGTAATGAAGGTTGCTAACAATTTAGTTCTGGATGCTATTAAGTTGTCAGGTGTGTTTAAGGAGGAACCGGAAACGAATCACCGCTAGTCGGACCCGGGTCACATTAGACTAAATGCTATTCGGATGTCATTTGTGGTAGTTTATTTTAGTTAAACTGAATAATTAGGTTTACAAACATATATTCCATTCAATTATCTTTCATTTGATACCAAATTTTATTTTACAAACCCAACAATAATATTTGTAATATTCTTTAATAAACCCAAACTCTCACTTCTGATACCAGGTCTGAATAGCCGCAGCCTAAGAATAATTTAATTAAGCAAACCATTTCATGGGCATTAGTTAACAAAGCATATTCTTAAACTTGTAACCCTAAATAGCTACACAAAAGCTATTAATTATTAAAAATAATTTGTTTTTTTTAATTGTTTTTTTTTATAAACTACACACACACATTAAAATCTATTTTATTTGTAGGCATTCATTCAGCAGCAAGCTGCTTTGTAGTTCCAATGGCAACAGGGATGGCTTTAGTATTATGCATGCTCACAATGAAGCTGAAAAGACCAAATGCTAAATATGTGTTATGGCCAAGAATAGATCAGAAATCCTGCTATAAATCAATGGTCACTGCAGGTGAGCTTGGCCTGTTAATATTTTAAAAAAAGCTGTATTCATTAAAGTTAACTGAGCAACTCAAATTAGTGCCTAAGATTTAAACTACACATTTTCCAGCTATGTGTCGGGAATAGTGGTGGAAATACTGAAATTTGTTCTAAAATAAAATATTAAATTCTGAAGGAAAATAGTTTTTTTGTTGTCTTATTGCACTATCAACGCTATATTTTCTTCTTTTCTTTTTTAGGTCTTGAACCTGTTGTGATAGAAAATCTTTTAGTAGGAGATGAACTCACAACAAATATTTCTTCCATAAAAAACAAAATCAAGGACCTTGGAGCAGAAAATATATTGTGTATTATGACAACTACCAGTTGTTTTACACCAAGAGTTCCCGATAGGTAAACAAGAAAAAAGCAAAACCTATTATTATATATGGATGTAACTGGAGCAATAATTTAATTTCTGTTTTTTTAAAGGAGTGTTCTTTCTAATCTTACTCACTGACTCAACAATGCCCAGTCTTGTGGCCATCAGTGCAGTAAGTCAAACTTGATAAAGGTTAATTATTAGTTATCAAATCTGCTGATTTTTTCCTCATTACAGATTAGAGGAAATCGGCATAATTTGCAAAGAAAATAACATTCCTCACCTTGTCAACAATGCCTATGGCCTCCAGTCATCTAAATGTACACATCTGATTCAACAAGCAGCACGTGTAGGAAGAGTTGATGCAGTTGTTCAAAGTCTTGACAAAAACTTCATGGTTCCTGTTGGTGGGGCAATAATTGCTGGATTTGATAAAGGTTTCATCGAAGAAATAGGGAAATCATATCCAGGTAAATTTAATGATGTCTTATCACATCCTACATAAAAGATAAAACTATACAAAAGATTTGTCATCTGATCCTTTTGTTACGTCAGTACCATTCAGAATTCTGTGTGTCTTAAACACAACTTTTGACTGTTTTGAACAGAGTTTTTAAGTTTTAAACTTATTGTATTAACATGAGCAGATTCTTTGAATGCCTTGGAATCCTTTCTGAAGAACATAATTATGTGATGGCCTTCATTGAATCTGTTTTGTTAAGGACTTTCGTTAGTCCTTTTGTCACTTTAAAAACCATATTATTAACAATTATAAAATACTGTCTTCAAAAAATGAGTTTAAAACATGCCAATGACATGAGGAATAAGAATTGGTAAAATGTATACATTTTTCATTGATTTTTGTATAACTTACTTTGGTATTTTATATAAAAATATTTAGGTAGAGCATCGGCATCACCATCATTGGATATTTTCATTACGTTGCTGAGTCTAGGATCTCAAGGGTACAAGAAACTTTTGAAAGATCGGAAGGAAATGTTTACGTATCTTTCAACATCTCTTTCTGGCTGTGCTACGAAATTTGGTGAACGTTTACTTCAGACAAAGAACAATCCAATTTCCTTAGGTATTTGAAATAAACAAGTCATAATTCACCCTAGACTACAAAGATTAAAAAAAATGGGAGTAATTAGCTTTTTAAAAAACAATATTTTTATTTAAATTTGAGTTGACAAGTTAAAATGAACTGTATATATATTCTCTATAATTCTAGGCATTACACTCACACTAGAAAATGATCCTAAGGGAGAAAAGGCAACTGAAATAGGATCCATGCTATTCACCAGATTTGTTTCGGGAACAAGGTAAGAATTAAGTAGACAAACAATGTTTTAAATATTTTACACCAAAACAAGAATGCATATGTATTTCAAAATTATCAAGCTTGTACTTTATCAAGGTTTATGGAATATTAGTACCAGGTAATATACATTTATTGTTATAAACTTTTATTTACTAAAATAGAGTTGTTGCCCCTGGAAAGGACAGCGAAGTGAGTGGACATGTTTTTAAGAATTTCGGCTCTCATAGTGACAACTACCCCACTGCCTACCTCACAGCAGCTGCTGCTATTGGGATTACAAAGTCTGATGTTGATTTGTTTATCGGCCGCTTGGAAAAAGTTTTAACCAAATTAAAACAGAAAACATCTACACCTAATATAGAGAGTGGGCAAAACCAAATGCTTTAAAATCAGCAAATAGATGAAGTGACTGTGGTTCATGACCAAGTGTCCTAGCTCAATTTATGCACTAAAATTATGAGCAATGAAATGACATATTTTTGATGTTGAAAAATTATTATGATTATTACTTCACGAACTTTTTCTTGCGAATCATAAAACCACAGAAATCACACATACTTTTTATAAATTATATCTTACATATGAACAATGACGTGACATTTTCTGTCTAACATTTTGTGGGTTTTTTTATAGTAAAGGCTGTGACGGCATTTTTCATAGCTAAGGGTTGTCTCCATTAAAAAAACAATATAAATGCAGTTTTTGTCTTAGAGACTAAATTTCCCCCAATTTTTTCAAATAATCTTTAAATTGCTCAAAGTCGTAGAAGAAACAGCCCAAACCAATTCCACTGATTTTCTATTTATCTTAAAACCGCCTAGACATGTAAACCTTATTGCTCTCATAATCTTGTCTCACTTTAGTGCGATATAATTACCATTTATACTTACTAATAATTCCTTTGGTTAACATCGACACCTAATTTAAAATTTACACACTATCAAAAGAAAGCAACAATAACTCCTTTTCTGTCTGATTTTACCAACGAGGCGTCATGGGTAGGTTTAATTGACAGATTGCCACAAGATATTAGGCCTACTGGAGCTTCATATTGTGCATTTTTAGGGTGTCCTTAACACAGTCAATCCACTGGCAGCGTGGTCTTCCTCTGGCCCTAATACTTAAAATACTAGAGTACCTACTATTGTAAACTTACAATGCAGTTTGGTTGACAGGCATTCCAACCAGTTGGACAGACCAATTGATTTGTTGTTTTGTCATATATTGGCTGATTGGGATTGATTGATTGGATATTTATATAGCGCTGGTATCCATGCTACTTTAGCATGCTCACTGCTCTCGTTTTCTTAAATCTACTTAAACAAAAAAGTTTTTAAATGTTTCTTAAATGATTTTTTATCATTTTCAATTTCCCTCACAGATTGAGGCAAACTGTTCCATAATTTTGATGCTATAGCTTCAAAAGAGCGCACTTTTTCTGTGTTCATCCACACTGGAAATTTTCAGTAAGGATTGTCTGTGTTGAAGACCGCAGGTTCTTTAAGGATGCATGTTTATAAATCAGTTCTTTAAGATATTCCGGTGCAGAGCCTTTTATGCAGCTGTACACCAGAGACAGAATTTAGTAGATAATGCGCTCACTCAAAGGATGTCACCAACCAATTATCTTATTTTTCCCGTTTCCGAATACTGTCTTTCTTGTTTTACCAGCTGCTCCCCTAAAACATCTCGCATGTGAATAATTTATCATCAAGACTTTTTCTAGTCTAGGTTGATTGGAATTGGTCCATTAATTTGGGTCTTTTTTGTCTTATTTATTTAAAGTATGTATCGGTTTATATAATATATTGCTACACCTGCTTTTATAATGTAGATTTTTTTTTAAAGTCTTATTTTGAAATCTCTTTCAAATTTACTAAATTAGCCTAGATTTTAAAAAAACAAACTAAAATGTAATTTTAGTTTCAATAATTAGCACATTATTGTACAAAATAATGCTTTGCTTAAATTCAGATTACAAAAAAATGAAAACTGATAGACCTTTATAAGAGGCTCTTGGGTATCAAAGCCTTTTCTCCATTATTCATTTCAATCTTCAGCACACTACCTACTTGTGTGACAAGACATTTTTTTAAATGTTACATGTGGAATCTAGTTACAGATCACACTTTTTTGATGAGCACTTGTAAGCAAATTTGGAGCGTTAAAATTTTTTTATTATATCAGAAAAGCACCAGTTTCATGCTTATCACTGAAGAAAAAAAAAGAAAGACAGTTATAGAATTTTTATCGAGAACATAATGTGGGCTTACCCCGCCCTTTTTCTCTCCCTTGAACTACAATTGTTTTATTTTATTGCAAAAATCATTTCCTTAAATTTACCAAAAAAATCTATCTACCATTTTTATTATAATTTACATTCATGGAATTTAATATACCCATATTGATATCGTCATTAAAAAATGTAACCTTCGCTTCTGTACTATTCTACTAATGTTATCTCTAAACTACTATGTTATGGGAAAATCAGAAAACTTGGAATTCTTTTCTCTAAAGAAGAATCTCTTAACCCATTTTCATGGCTGTAATAGCCTGGAGTGTTTTCTATAATGAAATATTAATTATTAATCTCATAAAAATTTATACCGACTTTTTCAAGAACTTTACTTTTTGAAAAGTGGAAAAAATATATATTTTCATATTTTGAAAGAAAATCTTAACTAATCTTTGTTCACACCCACTGAAAACAATATTGCACTATGTTTAAGATAAAATTTTAACTTGTTAAAAATTATTGGTTCTGAGATATTTTTTTAGTTATGGGTATACTTATGTAAATAAATCCTTGGCGTAACAAATATTTATTTTTAAAACAAAAGTAAATGTAACACCTCTTTTTTAAATCCTTTATATTAACTTCGTTTTTGTGTATTTAGGGCAAAATCTTCAGATGGCTAATTGACCCACTTCCCATCAGCCTTTCAACCTGAAACTTGACACATTGACTTATTGCCAATGACAACACATTCTTTCAAATTTTTAGCCCCACCTCTCAACCCCAAGTCCCAAAATTGAGCTTTTCCTATTTTTAAGGGAAGATGAAGGAAATATGATGACACTGATTTCACAAAATAAAATTCTCGATAACTGCACTAGATGAGATTCTTCTTTTTATATAAAAATATTGCAAGTGCGTTTGTTGAGTAATATTTTTTAATTTTTTTTTAAAATAACTTGTGAAATAAATCTGAGATGTAAAAGCGGGTGGGTCATTAGAATATAAGTATAGTTCAGTCGTGTAAAAAAAATGTGTGGTTTCGGGGGGGGGGACTAATTGGGATTTTAATAAAAATTGTTACTTGAATGCATATGAGCTCCTCTGTCTGTGTTTGGGAAACAGGTCACATTCCCCACGACATGAGAGAGGCCAACATCGTAACATTGTATAAAAATAAAGGGGACCGAAGTGATTGCAATAACTACCGAGGTATTTCTCTCCTTAGCTTAGTTGGAAAGACTTTTGCCCATGTTGCCCTTAAACGATTGCAGAGTCTTGTGAACCGCATCTATCCAGAGTCCCAGTGTGGCTTCAGGAGTGGGTGCTCAACAATAGACATGATATTTTCGCTACGCCAAATGCAGGAGAAATGTCGTGAACAGCATATGCCTCTTCTTCTTCTTTATTTTAAGGGCCCACGATCAATGAATTGATCATTCTGGCTCCATATTGCCTTCGTAGACCTGACCAAGGCATTTGACTTGGTAAGTCGAAGAGGCCTTTTTAGTATCTTGCAAAGAATAGGTTGTCCCCCACGACTGCTCACAATAATACAGTCATTTCGCAAAAACATGCACAGCACAGTAACTTTCAATGGCACTGTCTCTGAGTCATTCCCAGTTAGCAGCGGAGTAAAACAGGGTTGTGTACTGGCACCAACGCTCTTTTCCATATTCTTTTCGATGCTCCTTCAATTTGCCTTCAGGGACTGTGAAGAGGGAGTGTACATCCATACAAGATCTGATGGAAGGCTGTTCAAAGACCAAAGTAAAAAAGGTGCTGATTCATGAACTGCTGTTCGCTGACGATGCCGCCTTAACATCTCACACAGAAGAAGGCTATCCCACGCTTGTAAAGAGTTTGGACTTTCGATTAGTCCACAGAAAACTCATGTAATGATGCAAGAAGCACCATCCCCTCCAATTGTATCTATTGAGGATCATAATCTTTCGGTTGTTGATCATTTCACATACCTTGGATCCAATATTTCTAGTTCTCTCTCCGTTGATGAAGAGATAAATATCAGGATCGCAAAAGGAGCAGCAACTATGGCTAAACTGAATAAGCGAGTATGGAATAATCTCAATCTAACTGATAAAACACAAATAAGTGTCTATCAGGCATGTGTGCTTAGCACACTCCTGTATGGTAGCAAAGTGTGCACCACATACACCAGTCAGGAGCGGAAACTGAACAGCTTCCATCAAAGATGTCTGGGTCATATTTTACGCATTCGTTGGCAGGACAGGGTGCCTAACGTAGAGGTTTTGGAACGTGCACACATGTTTAGCATATTCTACTTTCTTATCAAGAGGCGCCTTCGCTGGTTAGGTCATGTACGGGGAATGGAGGAAGGACGTATCCCAAAGATACTGCTGTATGGAGAGTTGGCAGAAGGGACAAGACATATTGGACGACCACGCCTGAGATTTATTGACGTTTGCAAACGAAGCATGAGGGAAGCCAATATTGAAACAAACGAATGGGAGTTCATTGCCGAACATCGCTCCCACTGGCGAACAGCAGTGTTTGAAGGGGTAAAAAAGGGAGAAGATACTCGAAACGAGGCCCTTGGATCAAAAAGAACAATTCGGAAATCAAGAATTTACCGGGATTCAATATTCTCCTGCGAGAGATGCAGCCGTGATTGCTATTCTAGGATTGGCCTAGTGAGCCACTCGTCAAAGTGAATAACTATATAGCTACTTCATCGTCTCGCGAAGACGGAATGATGCCATATGTACAGAAAATAACAGATTTTTTAATGGGTTGTTAAATTATCAAATTTACTCCTTTATTCCTAAACACATCGTTTGCTCCCTGAGACAAAATGAATGTATCAACTCCCCCTCCAAACAGTTTTTAATAAACATTTATAAAATCATCTACAGGATCATAGCCCCCTACATACACAACCATACATTTTTAGGAGGCCCATGAACTTTATTAAAATTCATAAGTCCAAGATGACTTTTACCAGGCATTTTTTTAATATTGACTAATAAAATGATTTCTACCAGGTGTGTATAATTCTTTATATTACGGTATATTGAAAGGTTATGGTTATTTATTTGAACATTAAAATCTATACCAACGTTCAAATCTGTAACATCTTTAGGTTTTAAGACATTGATATCAAAATGAAACAATTATTATTGCAACTTCGTATGGTTAGTTCTTATTTGGATAAATGATAAGTGAATTAGTAAGTGGTATTTGGCTATGAAGTTTCGCTGAACTAATTGACTTAAACTGCATTTTCTTATTACTTATTAAAATTTAAGTTTTTGTTAATTGTTTGTTTAAAAAAAAAACATAGGTAATAAACTCATTACCAAATGACTAGTTTTTGCCTTTAATGATTATACTTATAAAGGGCGCTAAGTTAAGCCTTAGGTAAACTTTTGTCCTGTGCGAAGCACGCGTTCGGCGCCCCCTTCCCTGTATGGCTCCCCTCTTCTTCCGAATACGACGTACTTTTTCTGCTTTGCGCTTGCGATTTTGTGCACCGGAAAGCTTTTTGTCCCCCATATTCCTTCTTCTGAAATAATTGTAAGAGGGACAAGGAAGTACGGTATTAATAAATTAATTTTCACGCCTTTTCGGTTGGTCCCAACTCCAGTGTTAGTATCCAAATTAAGAATGCAACTTTTATTGTATGAAAACTCATTGTATGAAAAGCGATTGTACGAAAAGTTAAAACCCGAGGTCACACTTCACTATGATAAACTAAGGGAATTTAAATATTTATTGGGCGCCCCTATGACCAAGGCGCCCTGAGCGAGGGCACAGGTTGAACACCCTAATGTCCGTCTCTGGTGTGCCTCAATGGACACCTTCGCGGAAGTGCTTCTGCTCTTGTTGTACTGGTCCTCCCTGGTTTTAACATAGACCCATCAGGTGCGAATGATGTCCATTGGTATAACTGGACCCTTGGGAGGAAGCTGGGCTATCTTCTAAGAGCAAAGTGTAAAACATGCCATGTTTGTTACACTAACCCATCCCCTACTCTCTCTTGAGTAATTGTTTTCTTCTAGTCTTTATTCTACGTTAACCCCCCCCCCTTTTTAGTGGTTGACCCAGGAGTTGGATCTTCATAAATTTATACGATTGACCAGTCGTGATGTGGAGCATACATACCCCAATACCGTGGCGGCAAGATCTGGTGAACTGGACCCTTGGGAGGAAGCTTGGCTATCTTCTAAGAGCAAAGTGTAAAACATGCCATGTTTTTTACACTAACCCCTCCCCTTCTCTCTCTTGAGTAATTGTTTTCTTCTAGTCTTTATTCTACGTTAACCCCCCCCCCCCTTTTTAGTGGTTGACCCAGGAGTTGGATCTTCATAAATTTATACGATTGACCAGTCGTGATGTGGAGCATACATACCCCAATACCGTGGCGGCAAGATCTGGTGAACTCTTTCCACAGGATCATGAAAGTTCTCCCCAGACACAACTGAAATAGGACGTGGTAATACCAGGGGCGTCATTTCATCTTTTTTTCAAGAAAGGGGGGGGGGCAAAACCAAAATTGGTCGGCTTGTTAAGTTGTTTAT